CCAAATGTTATTGCTTTTATTATTGATGCATTGTGGGCTCAGCCTCATGTAAGCCACACCGAGTCCCTTGGGGAGATGGTAGCGGAATATATATAAAGTTTTATTATTTATTATTATTTCTTAACTCCATCAGCAGCGGTGGCTGCTTCAGATCAAGGTTTCTTTAGGTAGGAAAGATGGAGCCTCCCTCTATCCTCACTACCTCTGAGGATGCTTGCCATAGATGCAGGCGAAACGTCAGGAGAAATGCCTCTAGAACATGGCCCTATAGCCCGAAAAAACCCACAAGAACCCAGTGATTCCAGCCATGAAAGCCTTCGACAATACCTTCCAGTATTTTCTGTTAGTGATGAGAGTTCTGTATGCCAAGTTTTATTCAATTCCATTATTGGGGGAGTTCAGAATACTCTTTGATTGTAGGTGAACTATAAATCCCAGCAACTACAACTCCCAAATGACAAAATCAATTCCCACCAACCTCACCATTATACAAATATGGGTGAATTGGGAATTTGTGCCAAATTTGGTCCAGTGAATGAAAATACATCCTGCATATCGGATATTTACATTATAATTCATAATAGTAGCAAAATTAGAATTATGAAGTAGCAACAAAAATAACTTTAATGTTGGGGGTCACCACAACATGTGGGACTGTATTAAGGGGACACGGCATTATGAAGGTTGAGAAACACTGCTCTAAATGCTCCCCCCAAATTCATCAACTAGGAATCATAGAATCATAGCATAGAATCATAGACATTGTGGGCCATCCAGTCCAACCTCATTCTGCCAAGAAGCAGGAAAATCACATTCAAAGCACCCTCGACAGATGGCCATCCAGCCTCTGTTTAAAAGCCTCCAAAGGAGGTGCCTCCACCACACTCCAGGGCAGTGAGTTCCACTGCTGAACAGCTCTCACAGTTAGGAAGTTCTTCCTAATGTTCAGATGGAATCTCTTTTCTTATAGTTTCAGGACTGGTCCTACTATTAGACACAGTGAGTAATTTCCATGAAGAATGTCAAATGATCCACTTTTTCTGGATTTCTTTTCACACCATTGCCCTTTGATTTCCTGGGTACTCTCTCTGTGCGTCTCCTTCCGTGATGGCAGCAAATGTGCTCCAGAGCGACGACATACATTAAACCTTTTCTACAAATCGTAGCAACCTTGACAACAAAGCACAATGCTCCCCCACCTCTGCTCCATTAAGCTAATACTCTCATGGTTTTTGAAAACTCTGGAGGATATCAGATCACTGTTTTGAAGGGCAAAAATACTCTCTCCTCAACGGTGAGGCTAAAAATAGGGCATCAGTGAAGTGAAGCGAAGCCACAGCAAAAGCACTTTCTGCTACAGTTGGCGGCTCTGAAGATGGAATATAATATTGCCCCAAAAGAGGAAGAATGGAGCTGGGCCACAGCTGTGGTTGAGATTTCTTTAGAGCAGCTTTGCACATGCACCTGCATCCCACAGAAACAAATTATTTCTATGTGTGAATGGAACATACGGTTCCGGCCCAGCTTACTTATCCGAATGTATCCCCTTCTACGTTCCACCTCGTAGTCTAAGATCTGCTGGGGAGGCCTTGCTCTCGGTCCCACTGGTTTTGCAAACGCGTCTGGTGGGGACGAGGGACAGGGCCTTCTCGGTGGTGACCCCCCGCTTGTAGAATTCACTCCCCAGCGAAATTAGATCGGCATCCTCCCTCCTTTCCTTCAGAAAAAAACCTAAAATCGTGGTTTTGGAACCAGGCTTTCGGCTAACGGGCGCAGCAGCATTCTGAACATGGAACTGGACCTGACAACTGTTATGATAATGGGAAACGGCCATGTGATTATGCGATTAGGTGATTATATAATTAACTAGCCATCCCCTGCCACACATTGCTGTGGCCCAGTTTGGTGATCTGGAAAATAAAGTAACGAGAAAGTGTTGGTTTCTAATATATGTAATGTCTTTATGCTTGTGGGTAAACAGTATTTCTTCTTGTTTCTTAGTCAGTGTTGATGTGGAGATAGTCTGGTTTGCATACTCTGGAACATACAACATGTAATTGTCCTCCTTTAGGGGTCCCTTTCAAATCTATGATACTATATCTCTCTGTGTGTGTGAATCATATCAATCTATCTATATCTATGACTGGAGGGCTTTGATTACGTTTTCTTGCCCTGGTGAAGGGAGTTGGACTGGGTGGCCTTAAGTATTTTCTGTTGGTCATGGGGGTTCTGTGTGGGAAGTTTGCCCCAATTCTGGCGTTGGTGGGGTTCAGAATGCTCTTTGATTGCAGGTGAACTATAAATCCCAGTAACTACAACTCACAAATGTCAAGGTCTATTTTCCCCAAACTCCATCTGTGTTCATATTTGGGCATATGGAATATTCACGCCAAGTTTGGTCCAGATCCATCATTGTTTGAGTCTACAGTGCTCTCTGGATGTAGGTGAACTACAACTCCCAAACTCAAGGTCAATGCCCACCAAACCCTTCCAGTATTTTCTGTTGGTTATGGGAGTCCTGTGTGCCATGTTTGGTTCAATTCCATCGTTGGTAGAGTTCGGAATCCTCTTTGATTGTAGGTGAACTATAAATCCCAGTAACTACAACTCCCAAATGTCAAGGCCAATTTCCCTCAAACTCCATCTGTGTTCATATTTGGTTGTATTGAGTGCTTGCACTATGTTTGGTCCAAATCCATCATCGTTTGAGTTCACAGTGCTCTCTGGATGAAGGTGAACTACAGCTCCCAAACTCAAGGCCAATGCCCACCAAACCCTTTCAGTATTTTCTGTTGGTCATGGGAGTTCTGTGTACTAAGTTTGCTTCAATTCCATCATTGGTGAAGTTCAGAATGCTCTTTGATTGTAGGTGAACTATAAATCCCAGCAACTACAACTCCCAAATGACAAAATAATAATTTTTTGAGTGATGGTCACTCCTTGTGTTGTGCGATGTTTTGTTGCCAAATTTGGTGTGATTTCGTTCATTGGTTCTTTTGTTTTTAAGGTACTCATTATGCCCAGAGCATTTATATATATATATATATAGATTGTTACTGTTTTTAACCTTCTATATATTTATGATTTTATTTTGGTGTTTATTGATATTGTGGCATCGAGTTGCTGCCTATGTTAGCTGCTCTGAGTCCCCCTTCGGGGGTTGAGAAGGGTGGGGTAAAAATGCTGTAAATCTATATAAATAAAACACCACAGCAAGAACGTTACATGAGGCACATTGACACTGAAGAATTATAGTTCTATTAACCCCAGCTCTCCATTCAGGGACATGAGAGAAGCCTCCCACAAGGATGGTAAAACACCAAAACATCTAGGCGTGCCCTAGGCAATGTCCTTGCAGACAGCCCATTCTCTCACACCAGAAGCAACTTGCAGTTTCTCAAGTCCCTCCTGGTCCAGAAAAAAAACTGTATGAATAATAATAATAATAATAATAATAATAATAATAATAATGTTTGACAGTGGCACTGAAGAAGAGAAAAATCATTGAAAGTGAGGGCACAAATATGCCCAATGGCCAAGCAATGAAGTGACACCAGCCAGAGGCCTATAAATATCCGGGCAGACTACAGATGGACAACATCAAACATGAAGATGTGAAAACTGTGGTCAGCAAAGAATACATTCAAAGGGTCAGAAAAATTCTCAAAAGAAAGCTCAATGGAGGCAGCACCATCAAGGCCATAAACACCTAGGCCATACCTGTCATAAGATACACTGCTGGCATCATAAACGGGACACAGGCAGAACAAGAAAACTGCACTCCAAACCAGAGTGGACAGCTGGCACAACAAAGCCTTACATGGGCAGTTCCTTGAGAAGATTAAAGGAAAAGTTGACAAGGAGAAGACCTGGTTATGGCTCACGAATTGAACCCTGAAGAAGGAGACAGAAGAAGGCCTGATTCTTGCAGCCCAGGAGCAAGCCATCAGAACCAATGCAATTAAGGCCAGGATTGAAAAATCAGCGGATGACCCAGAATGTAGGCTGTGTAAGGAAGCTGATGAAACCATGGACCATTTCCTCAGCTGTTGCAAGAAAATCGCACAGATCGACTACAAACAAAGACACAACTCTGTGGTCCAGATGATTCACTGGAACTTATGTCACAAGGACCACCTGCCAGCAGTTGGTGGAATCATAAACCCACAAATATTGTGGAAAATGAACATGCAAAAATACTGTGGGACTTTTGAATCCAGACTGACAAAGTTTTGAACACAATACGCCAGACATCATGATTGTGGAAAAGAAAAAATTCTTGATTATTGATGCTGCCATTCCGGGTGACAGTCGCATTGAGGAAAAACAACAGGAAAAACTCAGCCGCTATCAAGACCTCAAAATCAAACTGCAAAGGCTCTGGCATAAACCAGCACAGGTGGTCCCAGTGGTCATTGGAGCACTGGGTGCCGTGCCAAAAGATCTCAGCCAGCATTTGGAAACAATAAACATTGACAAAATCACGACCTGTCAACTGCAAAAGGCCACCTTACTTGGAAATGTGCGCATCATTTGAAAATACATCACACAGTCCTAGACGCTTGGGAAGTGTTCGACTTGTGATTTTGTGATACGAAATCCAGCATAGAGATCTCGTTTGCCTGTGACATACTGTACTTTTGTGTCAATAATAATAATAATAATAATAATAATAATAATAATAATAAATCTCCCTGAATCCCCTCTGACCAGTGGCAATCCCTAAAGGAATTTCTCATTCAGGAAAAGGCCTCCAAAAGGAATCTCCCACCCCCTCTTCCAGTTTATAGTAAGCATCTCTTTATGCTCCATAATCTGAGTTAGGCAGCCTCACATGAAGATCAAAAATAAACAAATGGCACTTCAACGCTGTTTAAAGTAAGTTGTCACCCCAAGTAGCAGCTTTGACAGGAACCAGCCCTGACGATGAAGAAATGACAACATATTCACAGCACAGTGACACAAAATATGGTTATAAGAAGTTGCAAATGCAATCTTACCTAGGTATGAAACGCCTTCCTCCGGCGTGATGGTTCCATATTTAACCATCATCTTCACAAAGTCTATTAAAGTCTTCATGATCGTTATCAGCGTTTCTTTCTCCTTGGCTTCTTTCTCTGTTGAGAAGAACAAAACATTAGCTCAAATTAGGGACGTGAGATATAGATACTGGAATATGATGGGACCATATTGTAGCACAGAGCTGGATTTGGGGGTCTCCAGGAGACCTTGGATGACAGAAGGAGACTTAGGCCAGAGTTTCTCAACCTGGGGGTTGGGACTCCTGGGGGGGATTGCAGAGGGGTTGCCAAATACCACGAGAAAGCATATTTCTGATTATCTTAGGCGCCCCTTTTGCAGAGAAAGCTGAATATCTCTCTGCCTAACCTCTTCCTGAGACAAGTTCTGTGTGGCAAGTTTACTAGTTCCATCACCAGTTTGGTACAGAGTGCTCTCAGAGTGTTGGTGAACTACAACTCCCAGAATTCAAAAACAACTCCTCCCAACCCCACCAGTATGCAATGTTGGCCATCTAGGTCGTGTGCCAGGTTTGGTGCAGATTCATTGTCGGCTGAGTTCACAATGCTCTTTGATTGTAGGTGAACTATAAATCCCAGCAACTACAACTCCCAAATGTCAAGGTCTATTCTCCCCGAAATCCACCAGTGTTCACATTTGGGCATATGGAGTATTCGTGCCAAGTTTGGTCCAGATACACCATTGTTTGAGTCCACATCTCTGGATGTAGGTGAACTACAACTCCAAAACCAAGGTCAATGCCCGCCAAACCCTTCCAGTATTTTCTGTTGGTCATGGGAGTGCTGTATGCCAAGTTTGGTTCAATTCCATTCTTGGTGAAGTTCAGAGGGCTCTTTGATTTTAGGTGAACTATAAATCCTGGCATCTACAACTCCCAAATGTCAAAGTCTATTTTCCCCTTAATCCACCAGCGTTCACATTTGGGCATATTGAGTATTTGTGCCAAATTTGGTCCAGATCTATCATTGTTTGAGTCCACAGTGCTCTCTGAATGTAGGCGAACTACAACTCCAAAACTCAAGATCAATGCCCACCAAACCCTTCCAGTATTTTCTGTTGGTCATGGGAGTTCAGTGTGCCAAGTTTGGTTCAATTCCATTGTTGATGGGAGTTCGGAATGCTCTTTGACTGTAGGTGAACTATAAATCCCAGCAACTACAACTCCCAAATGACAAAATAAATCCCCCTCCCCCAAAACCTCCCAGTATTCAAATTTGGGTGTATTGTGTATTTGTGCCAAATTTGGTCCAGTGAATGAAAATACATCCTGCATACCGGATAGTTACATGATGATTCATAACAGTAGCAAAATTACAGTTACGAAATAGCATCGAAAATAATGTTATGGTTAGGGGTCACCACAACATAAGGAACTGTAGTGTTATATATTACTTCCCTATATCTATAGTGTCTAGATCTAGCGAATCTAGATCCGCTTTGGTTAGACCACACCTGGAATATTGTGTCCAATTCTGGGCACCACAATTCAAGAGAGATATTGACAAGCTGGAATGTGTCCAGAGGAGAGCGACTAAAATGATAAAGGGTCTGGAGAACAAGCCCTATGAGGAGTGGCTTAAGGAGCTGGGCATGTTTAGCCTGAAGAAGAGAAGGCTGAGAGGAGATATGATAGCCATGTGAGGGGAAGCCACAGGTAGGAGGGAGCAAGCTTGTTTTCTGCTTCCCTGGAGACTAGGACACATTGGAACAATGGCTTCAAACTACAAGAGAGGAGATTCCATCTGAACATGAGGAAGAACTTGACTGTGAGAGCCGTTCAGCAGTGGAACTCTCTGCCCCGGAGCGTGGTGGAGGCTCCTTCTTTGGAAGCTTTTAAACAGAGGCTGGATGGCCATCTGTCAGGGGTGCTTTGAATGCAATATTCCTGCTTTTTGGCAGGGGGATGGACTGGATGGCCCATGAGGTCTCTTCCAACTCTTGTGATTCTATGATTCTATGATAACTTCCTCTGCCAAACTGCAACCCCAGATTCAGTGGCCAGATTCAGAACTTGAAACAGTTATTTTGCTTGGAGCACAGTTCCAGATCTGTTTTACCTGCTTGTTTCAGTTCAATAACATTCAGTTCATATTATGGTACAGTAAGAGAGTTGCTGAGACTGCTATTTTAGATCTGATCTAGCCGGACACACAGGGGCAGGGCTCAGCACCTTGGAGAGCTCCCTACAATTTCAGCATTGTGAATTCCCAGCTGAAGTGATATGTCACCAGCACTCAGAGTTTGAGGAAGTCACTTTTTTGGGGATACCGAATCCCAAAACACCTTCCACCGGCTTGGCATGAATATTTTGAAATCTGAGATGCCTGTGCGTTTGGAAATACTCTCCAATGTTTTGACAAAGCTTGTCGTGAAACTCACCAGAGTTAAGGCTTTTCAGTAGTTCGTAGAAATTAGGGAAATATTGGAGATCTTCAAAATTATCCTCAGGAGGCAACTCGTTCCTTCTTTCTAAGATGTTGGAAGAAGCCCATGTGTTGTCTAATGTGTCATCTTGCTCAGGAGCCTTTGGAACCTTCATAAAAGAGATTAAGAATAAAGGTAAAGCAATGTCCAAATGTATCTCCTCCTATGAACCACTTTGGAGATTAAGATTGTATGGGGAGGCTCTGCTCTCAGTCCCGACTCTTTTGCAGGTGCATCTGGTGGGGACGAGAGACAGGGCCTTCTCAGTGGTGGCCCCTCATCTGTGGAACTCCCTCAGTGATATCAGAGCAGCTCCCTCTTTCCTGGCCTTTCAGAAGGAAAGTGATAACTTGGCTCTGGGGTCAAGCCTACAGAGCAATAATAGCTATGGAATTATGTGCAATGACTTTTGGAATTGCCTCAGATTATGATTGTGGATGGAATGATTTTTAATCATGATTGTAATGTTTTATATGTTTTAAATGTGCATTTAATTTTAATTTTAAAATTAAATGCACATTTACAAATGGAGTAAATAAAATTCACATCTTGTGCTTTCCTTTCTGTCTTCGGAGTTAGCGAGAGTGATCTCTGACATGGGTTAGTCTGTATGGGTTAATTATTCTGTCGGGGGTGCTTTGAATGTGATTTTCCTGATCTTGGCAGAATGGGGTTGGACTGAACGACCCACGAGGTCTCTTCCAACTCTTTGATTCTATGGTTCTATGGATTCATTTGAGGAGTCCTGGTATAGTGTTTGTCATGCTGTGGGACAAGATGAAGAAATGTTACCATTTTTCCTTCCAGGTTCTGGTTGGCATTCATGTCTGTTTTGCTTGGGAGGTAATCGAGACCTTCGGCAGCCTTTTCCCGATCTTTGGCTTCGTTCGCAATCAACTGCTGCAGGACTTCAGCCACCTCATCTTCCAGGGTATAGGCCTGGCTTTCTGTAATCTGCAGGAAATGAGAAACAGCAGAGATATGTTTGAAACATGTCAGCAGTTGGCTTCAATATCAGTGGGATGGGCAGTCAGACGTTAACAGAGCTATCAAAAGTGATGAAGGCTATTCCTAAGCCAAGCTCAGGACTTCAGATAGCTCCTGTAGAGTCCTGTTAGCCCTGCACATTTGTGGGGGTGAGAGGCAGAGGACTTCTGTGAATGTGAAACTGTTGGAAATAGCAACCTTCTACAAGCCTACTATACTAGTTATTTGTTTTGTATATAAATCAGATTGCTTACTGTATTGTATATGTGTGTATTGGTATGCAGTTTTCCTTAACTCTATGTTGTGGGAGAGGTTCCAGACCATGTCATCAGACCTGGGACTATTCAGACTCAGACTCCATTTTAGAAACAGTATGTTTTCAGAAGTCAGTCAAAACAGAATGCTTTAGGAAGACAGAGAGTCTCATAACAGAGAGATGCTTTAGACTTTGGACTGTGTGTATCGGTATGTAATTTTACCTTAACTCTTTGCTGTGGGGAATGTGGAGACCATGTGATCAGAACTGGGCTTGTTCAGGACTCAGACTCCATTTTGGAACAGTATGCTTAGAGACTCCACTGGACTTTCAGACTAGACAGACTATACTCTCAGAACAGAGAGATGCTTTGGAGTGTGGACTATTGAATCTAGGAAAGATGCCCTGTGTTACCTACATAGAGAAACTATTTCAAACCTTACGTAAACATGAAACTGTTGGAAATAGCAACTTTCTACAAGCCTCCTATACTAGTTATTTGTTCTGTATATAATTCAGATTGATTACTATATTGTATATGAGTGTATCAGATATGCAGTTTTCCTTAACTCTATGTAGTGGGACGGGCTGCAGACTATGTGATTAGATCTGGGACTATTCAGGACTCAGACTCCATTTTAGAAACAGTGTGCTTCAGTCAAAACAGAATGCTTTAGGAAGACAGAGACTCTATTTGACTCTCAGAACAGAGAGATGCTGGACACAGAATCACATCAGAGGGCCTAGGTCAGGCATTGGCAAACCTGGGCTCTCCAGGTGTTTTGGACTTCAACTCCCACAATTCCTAACAGCCGAATTGTGGGAGTTGAAGTCCAAAACACCTGCAGGGCCCAAGTTTGTCCATGCCTGACCTAGAGATTCCTGGAGAGAATTTTTTTAATCAAAATTAAAATTACCAATTTGAAACCAATAATAAGGCTTCATTGTATAACTACCAATGCTGCAATTAGATTCTAATCATATGATTCATTTGACTCAAAATAGTGGAAATACGGCCAGAAAGAGGAGGTGACATTTCCAGCTTGTCATCCCTGAATAAAAATCCTTTGGTGCCTTTTTCCGGCAATGGTTAGAAAAACAATTACTCAACTAAGTTCCCGTTTGATACAAATCAGCCTGGAATTAGGGGGAGTCAATAGCGCAAGGCCTTCTATCTGCGGCTTCTTTAGCCCGCAGAAGAGATCTTTCTTAACAATATCCTGAGTCAGTCTGTAATTCCCAGAAGCGGTATCTTGGTGTGACTTAATTGAAATGGCTTCCTATAGGCATGCTATTTGTTCCCTCTTCCTGGGGCTTATTTGCCCATCTGAACGCTATTTGGGAACTTGGCATCTCGCTCAGCAGGGCCAAGCTACAAATAGCAGGTCTCACTGCCGGCTGAGATTGATGTGAAATGAAACCAGTGCGGAAGGACTGCACTCGGGTTTAAAAGACTATCCATTTGTTTCAGGATCAAACTAGCCATTCATTCATGGAGTGCTTTATCTGAGGATTAACAGAGTTAGAAAGAAAGAGATGGGGATGCACAGGCAGGGAACCATGCCAGGAATTCAAATAAATTCAAGCCTGGAAACATACGAGTCCCAGATTGAGAAGCTTGGAAACAATTTTGTCAAAGACCCCTCTGTCGTTTTCCTCATATATTCTTGTGGCGATCTTCTGGACAATGTCTTCAGCCGTCAGCGGCGTGCCGTCGAGTTGATGCAGTCCGTCCGGATCATCTGAAAGGATCAGAGTTGAATAACAAAATAATAAATAACAATAAACTTTATTTATATCCCATCACCATCTCCTAAAAGGGACTCAGGGCAGCTTACAAGGCACTGGCTATGGTGCAGCTAGTTAGTAGCCAGCTGCATTAAATCACTACTTCCCAAAAGATCATGAGTTTAAAACCAGCCCAGCTCAGAGTGAGCTCCCAACCATTAATAGTCTAACTTGCTGTCAACTTATGCAGTCTGAAAGACAGTTGCATCTGTCAAGTAGGAAATTTACTTATGCTAATGTACCTCTTCAGCCCTGCTGCCTTACAACTACTGGGCAGGGCGACTCCATGGTCACATAGCCACGCTGAGAGTACTTCAAGGGCCTAACTACCCACTGCCGGCCATAGCAACACCTGCGTGGGGCCATAGCAACACCTCTTTGGCCCTGCTGCCTTACAACTCCTGGGCAGGGTGCCACCATGGCCGCACAGCCTCGCACTGAGAGTACTTCAGTTTCTTAGATGCCCAGCCACAGCAACACCTATTGAATGACTCCTTGTGTCTTAATTGCTTAAGCAGCTGAGAGAAAAAAGGAAAGAACCTGAGGCTGCTAAGAATGGTGGGAGTTGAAGTCCAAAACACTTGGAGGGCCCAAGTTGGCCCATGCCTGATCCAGAGATTTCTAGACAGAACATCACTTTAGGAATGTCTAGGTCAACATTTCTCAACCTGGGGGACAGGACTCCTGGGGGAGGGGGTCATGAGGAGGTGTCACAGGGGTCATCAAACACCACCGGAAAGCACAGTATTTTCTGTTGATAATGGGGGTTCTGTGTGGGAAGTTTAGCCCAATTCTATCATTAGTGGGGTTCAAAATGCTCTTTGATTTCATGCAAACTATAAATCCCAGCAACTACAACTCCCAAATATCAAGGTCTATTTTCCTCAAACACCACCAGTGTTCACATTTGGGCATATTGAGTATTTGTGCCAAGTTTGTTCCAGATCCATCATTGTTTGAGTCCACAGTGCTCTCCAGATGTAGGTGATCTACAACTCTGAAACTCAAGGCCAATGCCCCCCAAACCCTTCCAGTATTTTCTGTTGGTCATTGGAGTTCTCTGTACCAAGACTGATTCAATTCAATCATTGGTGGAGTTCAGAATGCTCTTTGATTGTAGGTGAACTATAAATCCCAGCAACTACAACTCCCAAATGTCAACGTCAGTGTTCACATTTGGGCATATTGAGTATTTGTGCCAAGCTTGTTCCAGATCCATCATTGTTTGAGTCCACAGTGCTCTCTGGATGTAGGTGAACTACAACTCTAAAACTCAAGATCAATGCCCACCAAACCTTTCTAGTATTTCAGTTGGTCATAGGAGTTCTCTGTACCAAGATTGATTCAATTCCATCATTGGTGGAGTTCAGAATGCAACTACAACTCCCAAATGACAACATCAATCCTCCCACACCCACCAGTATTCAAATTTGGGCATATCGGGTATTTGTGTCAAATTTGGTCCAGTAAATGAAAATACATTCTGCATATTAGATATTTCCATTACGATTATAACAGTAGCAACATTACAATTGTGGAGTAGCAATGGGAATGATTTTATGGTTGGGGGTCAACACAACATGAGGAACTGCATTAAGGGGTCATGGCATTAGGAAGGTTGAGAACCACTGCTCTGGGTTGTTCAGTGCTTTCCTGACCAATGGTTCTAAGCTCAGAATTGTTTTCCAAAGGAAAATATTGCTAGGTAGTGGCCTTTTTGCAATCTTCCCCTTATCAACCCAGAGGAAGGTCGGATGGTTACGGTCTGGTCTAACCGGTAGGCAGTCAGTAGGAACGGAATGAGCAACGTGGGAGCAGAAAAATTCAGGCCACATCCATCAGCACAGCTTGGTGCCTTCTGGTTGATGAAGAGCCATCCATCAACTGAAAACAGACTTTAGAAATGAATTGTTTTCTTCTTTCGGAGGAGACACTGATTTAGAGGCAGGGGGAATAAGGGGGGGGGGGTGCTACAGGGAGAACGAACAGAGAGAAATCATTCTCTTGCAAAGAACTACAATGCAAGAGATAATCCAATTAAACCAACTGCCAGTCCATTTGGGTGAAATATTTTTAATCCTTTTTCGTGGCTTCCTCCTTCCTGTTGAGATTGTCCACATGCTTCTGGATTTCAACGGCTTCTCTGTGTAGTCTGACATGGTGGTTGTTCGTGTGGTCCAGCATTTCTGTGTTTTCCAATAATATGCTGTGTCCTTGTTCAAACAACTTATGTGTTCAAACTTAAACTTATTTTAGATCCATTTTTTGTGTTGTTAGTATATGGGCACACAGAGACTAAATTAATTAGGAAAATATATCAGAAACTGTTATTTTGGACAATGGAAAGGGAACAGGTAAAAGAATCAATGGTAAAGTGGGCAAAAGACATAGGCCGCTCTATCAGCTTCTCAGAATGGGAAGAGATATGGTGGAGAAAACTAAAATATACATACTCCACCGAATTTAGAGAAAATTGGTTAAAACTCTTCCACAGGTGGTATTTAACCCCAGCCCAAATAGCAAAGTTTAATAAAGGAAGAAAAGAAGGAAAATGTTGGAAGTGTGGCAAAAAAAGGGTGACTTTATCCACATGTGGTGGAGGTGTAAAGTAGTAAAATCTTATTGGTATGAGATCCACAAAAAAAAAAAAAAACAACAACAAACAATTCTACAATTTGAATTTGACCTAAAACCGGAATACTTTTTACTGGGTATTACAGACTTTGATACCGATGAAAACACAAATAAAATTTTCTTTTATTTAGTCACAGCAGCAAGAATTAAGTTGGCGCAATATTGGAAGAAAAACGAAACACCGACAGAACAATGGTTATTAAAAACCTTAGATATAATGAATATGGACCTACTAACGCAAAGGCTGTCACAAAATAAAATTAAATCGAGAGTAACAAATTGGGACAAAGTATTAGATTATGTGGAAAGAGAAAATAAGGAAATAAATATTCTAAGAATGAAACAATATGAATAAGTAGTTCCAAACATAAGTAAGACCAGAGGCCATATGACAAGGAAGACGAAAGACCAAGAAGTTTCTTTCAAAAAAAAAAAAAAGAGGATAAATTCTGACCTGGGAACCCTGGAAGTGCTTCATTCCGTCAGTGACCAACTCTCTGGCCACTTTGGTAATCCCTCATTCCCCTTCCCCCCCCCCCCCCCAACTATTCCTGCTCCTTAGTTTTCCTTTCCTTCACTCTTTCTGTCTAAACCATTGTTCCCCCACTCTCCATGTAAAAAGTTTTTCTTTCTTTCTTTTTTTTAATATATTGAAAAAAAAAAGATTCTAGACTTTCCTATCATGCTCTGCTCTAAAAGCACATATTCTAAATAAAAAGATATTACAAAAAAAAAAAGTATATGGGCATACGCTGATGATGGCAGCTGCTGGCTTTCATCCCAGGTACGGGCAAACTCTGGCCCTCCAGGTGTTTTGGACTTCAACTCTCACAATACCTACCAGTTGGTAGGCTGTTAGGAATTGTGGGAGTTGAAGTCCAAAACACCAGGAGGGCCAGAGTTTGCCCATGCCTGTTTTGAAATGGATTTCCTCCACCAGACTGTGTTTGGTAGCATTGCTGGAGCTTGTGGACCACTGGCAATAGCTTAGCCAAGTCTACCCCAGTCTACCCCTACTGGGAATGATGGGAGCTATAGTGAACACTTCTGGAAGTTACCAGTGACAGTCAAGAAGAGGCCGATTTAGATTGGGCTCATGCAATATGTGCTCCAAAGGGTTGTCTTCTATCCAACATACAATACTGGAATCATTAATCTCCACCATCTATATAAATAAAAATGTAATGTTCGTTTGTGGGATTAACAGAACTCAAAAACCACTGGACGAATTGACACCAAATTTGGACACCTAACAACCCAATGTATGTCCTTCACTAAAAAAAAACGATTTTGTCATTTGGGAGTTGTAGTTGCTACGATTTATAGTTCACCTACAATCAAAGTACATTCTGAACCACACCAACAATGGAATTGAACCAAACTTGGCACACAGTTCTCCCATGACCAACAGAAAATACTGGAAGGGTTTGGTGGGCAGCGTCCTTTGGTTTTGAAGTTGTAGTTCACCTACATCCAGAGATCACTGTGGACTCAAACAATGATGGCTCTGGACCAGACTCTACACAAAGACTCAATATGCCCAAATGTGAACACTGGTGGAGTTTGGGGAAAATAGATTCTTGACATTTGGGAATGGTAGTTGCTGGGATTTATAGTTCACCTACAATCAAAAAGTATTCTGAACCCTACCAATGATGGAATTGAACCAAACTTGCCGCACAGAACTCTCATGACCAACAGAAAACACTAGAAGGGTTTGGTGGGCATTGACCTTGAGTTTGGGAGTTGTAGTTCACCTACATCCAGAGAGCACTGTGGACTCAAACAATGATGGCTCTCGACCAAACTCTACACAAAGACTCAATATGCCCAAATGTGAACACTGGTGGAGTTTGGAGAAAATAGATTCTTGACATTTGGGAGTGGTAGTTGCTGGGATTTATAGTTCACCTACAATCAAAAAGTATTCTGAACTACACCAATGATGGAATTGAACCAAACTTGCCGCACAGAACTCTCATGACCAACAGAAAACACTAGAAGGGTTTGATGGGCATTGACCTTGAGTTTGGGAGTTGTAGTTCACCTACATCCAGAGAGCACTGTGGACTCAAATAATGATGAATCTGGACCAAACTTGGCATGAATATTCCATATATCCAAATATGAATACAGATGGAGTTTGGGGGAAATAGACCTTGACCGTTGGGAGTTGTCGTTATTTTGATTTATAGTTCACAAACACTCAAAGAGCATTCTGAACCACACCGAGAGAATTGGGCCAAAATTCCCACAGAGAACTCCCATGACCAACAAAAATGCTGCCTTAAGGCCATCCAGTCCAACTCCCTTCCCCAGGGCAAGAAAACGTAATCAAAGCCCTCCTGACAAAGAGCCATCCAGCCATAGATATAGATAGATATATATATTATTCACACACACACACAGAGAGAGATATAGTATCATACATTTGAAAGGGACCCCTAAAGAAGGACAATGATACGTTGCATGTTCCAGAGTAGGCAAACCACATCAACAATGACAAGGAAACAACAAGAAATACTGTTTACCCACAAGTATAAATAAATTACTTATAATAGAAACCCACACTTTCTCATTATTGTATTTTCCAGATCACGGGGCCACAGCGACGCATGGCAAGGGACAGCTAGTATATTATATTATATTATTAGAATTTTCAGCCTTCCTGACCCTGTGGATTTCTGGGCTGAGTGGGAATTTGACCCTGGGATGTGCTTACACTATAGAATTAATACAGTTTGACACCACTTTTACTGCCATACCTCAGTTCTATAGAATCATGTGATTTTGCAAAGTCTTTAGCCTTCAATGCCAAAGTGTTCTGGTGCCCCACCAAACTACAAACCCCAGGGTTCCATAGCTTTGATCCATGGCAGTTAAAGTGGTGTCAGACCATACTAATTCTGCAGTGCAGATGCACCCCATCCATTCTAAAGTCAACATCTTCCCTTCTCTCCTTCCCCTCTCCCTTCCTCACACATCTGCATTAGGAGAACCTATTTGGCTCTTCTCCACGTGTAATATACATTCAATGCATAGTTTTGGTGCACTATGTTGGGCCAAGTACCTTGATATTTATAGTCCAGTCCGCTTTTAGTGGAGTCGTAATCGTCCACCAGCCTGCGACTCTTGGTGGAATCGGCGTCATCCAGAGCAAGCTGCTGATCGTAGAGGGTGCTCCGGACCGATGCTTTTTCCTTTTCCTTCCTCTCTTTTTCCACTGCGGATTTTAGAAGGTTCAGATCTTCAGCAAAGGAATAATTTCTGAATTCTGGCTTATTTTCTGGGGAAATGACAGCACGGGAGTATAATAAAGCATCTGGTCCCTTGAAGCAGGAGCAGTGAAAGTATAACCCATGGGTGCATGCAAAAAAATGGCCTATGGTAATCTCAGGACACATCTATGGGCCTGGCTTTAGCACAGCAGGTTAATGGTCAGCTGCAGTAAATCTTGCCAATTGAAAGGTTGACAGTTCAAAGCATGAGTAGGGGTGAGTTCCTGGCCTTTAGCCCAGCTTCTGCCTACCAAATGTGAGTAGATAAATAGGTACCACTTAAATTACCCCACCCCCCAGCATCAACTGCAGCTCTGGGCCAGAATAAAGAGAGAGGTGACCACCAGGGGACAGTTCCATCTTGTCTCCTGCATATGGCATCAGTTGGGGATCCCTCCCCACAGCACCAACTGCTGCTCTGGGCCAGAGTGAAGAGAGGGGGGGCCAGGGGACAGTTCCATCTTGTCTCCTGCATATGGCATCACTTGGGGATTCCTCCCTCCAGCACCAACTGCCGCTCTGGGCCAGAGTGAAGACAGCATATGTCATCAGTTGGGGATCCCTCCCCCCAGCACCAACTGCATATGTCTCCTGCATATGTCATCATTTGGAGACCTCTCRCCCCAGCACCAACTGCTGCTCGGGCCAGAGTAAAGAGAGAGGGGACCAGGGGACAGTTACTTCTTCTCTTCTGCATATCTCATCCTTTGGGGACCCCTCCCCCCAGCATCAACTGCTGTTCTGGGCCAGAGTGAAGAGAGAGGTGACCAGGGGACATTTCCATCTTGTCTCCTGCATATTTCATCAGTTGTGGACCCCTCCCCCCAGCACCAACTGCTGCTCTAGGCCAGAGTGAAGAGAGAGGGGGCCAAGGGACAGTTCTATCTTGTCTCCTGCATATGTCATCAGTTGGGGACCCCTCCCACTAGCACAAAATGCCGCTCTGGGCCAGAGTGAAGAGAGAGGGGACCAGGGGACAGTTCCAACTTGTCTCCTGCATATGTCATCAGTTGGGGACCCCCCCCCCTCCCAGCACCAACTGCTGCTTTAGGCCAGAGTGAAAAGAGAGGGGGCCAGGGGACAGTTCCACTTTGTCTCCTGTGTTATGCTAATTATATAATACAATACAATACAATATACTATATAGTATGGCCATGCTATATATTAATATAATATATTGTATATACATATAATATTTATAATATTATAATGTAATACAATATAATGCTAATAATAATATGATATAATTATATATTTATATCACATGTAATATTACTAATAACACTACAATATAATGCTATAATACAATATAGTAATATATAATACTGATATTGTACTATGCTAATAATATAATATATTGTATGTATATATACCTTGTAAGCTGTTCTGAGTCCCATTCAGGGTGAGAAGGGTGGCATATAAATGTTGTAAATAAATAAATAGATAAATAGGTACCACTTAAAGGTACCCGTTATGGGTGCTTTAAGGCACTCATAAGGAAGTGCCAGAAAAATGCTGGAAGAAGTTTACAAACAAAGCTCTTCAGCAGGAAATATGGAGCAACAGCACCCTCCTGTGGCCAGAATCGAGCACAGCCTCCAAGATGCCGATGATGAGAAAGCCAATATATATCTCTATCTATGTACAGTTGTCTGTCTTGTCAGTTTATAGCGACATTGAATGTCGCCATATATGTGTTATGCAATCTGCTCTGAGTCTCCTTCGGAGTGAGAAGGGTGGAATACAAATATCGCAAATAAATAAATACATAAATAAATCAGGACCATTGTATCCTCGGACTGGGTTATTTTGGCTCCCAAACTGCTCCAAAACAGGGCCTGTCCTGCCCTTCTTGAGACTCCAAAATGGCCCAAAACATCCAAAATTATGCTTTGAAGTGATATGATGTCACTTTTGCTTTGGCGCACGCCAGCATGATGTGGGATTGGTTCAAACATCGGAGTTGCTCATCGCTGCTCAAAGTCATCGGAGTTGCTCATCGCTGCTCAAAGCAATCAATAGCATGAGTAGACATTTAATATGGAGAAGAGAACTAAACCAGGCTTACCTTTAGAAGGTGCTTTTTTCATTTTGTCTGCCTCTGCTTCAGCAATCTGTTTTGGGGGAGCAAAAGAAAAAGAACATGTGTAAGTATCTGAGCTCACTACCTTTGGTGCTGTGGAATGAATGTGTGTGGACCTTTATCCATTCATCTAAATCAGGCATGGGCAAACTTGGGCCCTCCATGTTTTGGACTTCAACTCCCACAATTCCTAACAGCCTCAGGCCCTTTCCTTTCCCCCCTCAGATGCTTAAACTGTTAGGAATTGTGGGAGTTGTAGTCCAAAACACCTGGACGGCCAAGGTTTGCCCATGCCTGATTTCGACACTATACTCCTATTTATGCAGGTCAAAATCCCATTGGCTTTTTTAGCCGGCGCATCACATTGTTGGCTCATGTTTACCTTGTTGTCCATGAGGACTCCAAGGTCTTTTTCACATGTACTGCTGTCGAGCCAGGCATCACCCATTCTGTACCTTTGCATTTAATTTTTTTTTTTTTTTTTGCTAAGTGGAGTATCTCACATTGAATCTCATCCCAATGCAATTATAGAGCTATCTTAGTGCCTTGAAAGATCTGAAATGATATGCACATTTATCTGAGTATAAACTACATAGAATATCAAGAAAATAAGAAAACAAGCATGCATTCAATTGGAACAATATAGGACAGACTTTCTCCAATGGGTTTTGATGCAATAGATAGGTAACAACAACAACAACAACAACACAGTCCTAGACGCTTGGGAAGTGTTCAACTTATGATTTTGTGATATGAAATCCAATATAGAGATCTTGTTTGCTGTGACATACTGTGGTTTTCTGTCAGTAAAATAATAATAATAATAATAATAATAATAATAATAATAATACAGCAGGATTGAGGAGAAACAACTAGAAAAGCTGACACGATATGAGGATTTAAAGATCAAACTGCAAAGACTCTGGCACAAGCCAGTCAAGGTGGTCCCAGTGGTGATCGGCACACTGGGTGCAGTGCCTAAAGACCTTGGCCTGCACTTAAACACAATCGGCACTGAGAAAATTACCATCTGCCAGTTGCAGAAGGCCACCTTATTGAGATCTGCATGAATTATTCGCTGATACATCACACAATCCTAGACACTTGGGAAGTGTCCGACATGTGATCCAATACAACAGCCAGCAGAGTGTCTGCTGTGGATTCATCTTGTTGTGTTTCAAATAATAATAACAATAATAATAATATCACCCAGTCAAGGCGGTCCTGGTGGTGATTGGCACACTGGGTGCAGTGTCTAAAGACCTTGGCCTGCACTTAAACACAATCGGTGCAGAGAAGATTACCATGTGCCAGCTGCAAAAGGCCACCCTACCTGGACCTGCACACATTAGTCACTGATACATCACACAGTCCTAAACACTTCGGAAGTGTCCGACGTGTGATCCAATACAACAGCCGGCAGAGTGTCTGCTGTGGACTCATTTTGTTGTGTTTCAAATTATTATTATTATTATTATTATTATTATTATTATTATTATTTTATAATAATATATATTATATAATATATTCTATCTATCTCTTTCTCTATCTATCTATCTATCTATCTATCTATCTATCATAGGCACTTATAATGAAACCCATCCTTTCAAATTGTTGGATTCTCCTCCCTTTTAAAGACAGAGAGATATCTATTTATTCCCCACCTCTAAACAAAGAAAGTATTTGTACATATCTTATTTCCACCTACCTGCTCTTCTAGAGGTCTCTCTACACTTAGTTCTCGGTTGTGTATTGCTTTATCTAGAAAATAGACACACATATGCATATATTTGTGGCATATCTTACACAATCAGGCAAAACAATGTCACAATAGAACACTATTCCCATTTCTGTCCCTTGCACATCTTGGTAATGAACCGAAGTCACGCAAGAGCGTTGACTGAAAGAGGAAATAGTTTGCCTAGTTCTTGCTTTAAGACAAAGAACAATAACGTTTCCTTTATATTGGAGCATCCCTGCGTTCACGTCAGGAGACTCACATACACACATTTGGAAAACCTACATACAAGAGCGGGACGGAAATAGCAGTCGCCTAATCGGATTGGAATAATCAAGAGATTAAAAAGAGATCTTCTGACATGAAGAGCAGCCCACACAAAGGGAGACGTAGAAAATTGCTGCCCTGCAGAGACGGCGTTCTTCACGTCGGAAGGGAAGAAAGCCAGAATAATAGAATGCGGGAATATATGCTAATAGCTAAACTAACCAATAACAGGAGGAACAAAAGTAATGAGGACTTTTTAGAAAAATGGAAGTTGGCCATGACATATCTGAAGAGAGTCAGTAACATAGAGGAGCGCCATTAGAAATTTAGGTTTACTATGAACAAGGATAGATAAATGGGCTTAAAGCAGTGTTTCTCAACCTGGGGGTCGGGACCCCTGAGAGGGTTGTGAGGGGATATCAGAGGGGTCGCCAAGGACCAATAGAAAACACAGTATTTCCTGTTGGTCATGGGGATTCCATGTGGGAAATTTGACCCAATTCTATCGGTGGAGTTCAGAATGTTCTTTGATTGTAGTGAACTATAAATCCCAGCAACTACAACTCCCAAATATCAAGATCTATTTCCCCCAGACTCCGCCAGTGTTCACATTTGGGCATACTGAGTATTCGTGCCAAGTTTGGTCCAGATCAATTATTGTTTGAGACCACAGTGCTCTCTGGATATAGGTGAACTACAAGTCCTGAACTCAAGGTCAATGCCCACCAAACCCTTCTAGTATTTTCTGTTGGTTACGGGAGTTCTGTGTACCAAGTTTGGTTCAATTCCATTATTGGTGGAGTTCAGAATGCTCTTTGATTGTAAGTGAACTATAAATCCCAGCAACTACAACTCCCAAATGTCAAGGTCTATTTTCCCCCAGACTCCACCATTGTTCACATTGGGGCATATTGAGTTTTAGTGCCAAGTTGGGTCCAGATCCATCATTGAGTGAGTCCACAGTGCTCTCTGGATATAGGTGAACTACAATTCCCAAACTCAAGGTCAATGCCCACCAAACCATTCCAGTGTTTTCCGTTGGTCATGGGAGTTCTGTGTGCCAAGTTTGGTTCAAATCCATTGTTGGTGGAGTTCAGAATGCTCTTTGGTTATAGGTGAACTATAAATCCCAGCAACTACAACTCCCAAATAACAAAATCAAGCCTCCTCCACCCCAGTAGCATTCACATTTGGGTGTATTGGGTATTTGTGCCCTGTTTGGTCCAGTGAATGAAAATACATCCTCCATATCGGATATTTACATTATGATTTATAACAGTAGTAAAATGACTGTTATGAAGTAGCAATGAAAGCAATGTTATGGTTTGGGGTCACCACAAGATGAGGAACTGTATTAAGGGGTCGCGGCTTTAGAAAGGTTGAGAACCACTGGCTTAAAGGCTTCATAGTCCACTGCTTCAGTGTTGGAAGTCACGGTGAAGGGTGCACGGGTGTGGGGAAGAGGTTTTATTTTGTGTGGGATAGGGCGCTCCATGCAGTCATGCTGGCCACATGATCTTGGAGGTGTCTACGGACAATGCTGGCTCCTCGGCTTAGAAATGGAGATGAGCACCAATCCCGCAGAGTCGGACACAACTGGATTTAATGTCAGGGGAAACCTTTACCTTTACCTATAGTCTATCGTGTGTAATGCATTGTGTGTTGGTTGTCTGAATGTTATGGGGGGGGATATTAAGTAGAAAGCTTAGACTGAAAATAGTGGCTAACATGTAGGAATAGCAAGTGTATATTACATACATACATCTTAGAATACATCGATATATCAATATTTTCAATACTCTTATATTCCATACTCAGTTCATTACATCAACTATAAGTGTTTATGTTTTAAGTTAAGTAACTGATAATAATATGTACTCAATGTCAGAATTAACTGGTAGATAGGCATGTATACATCAAAAATATTGTTACTTGACTATATGTGTTATGATTTGTTTTTCTTTTATGAACTATAACCAAAATAAACTGTCAAAAAATAATAATAGAGAGCAAATATTAATATTTATTTATTTACGACATTTATATACCACCTTTCTTAACCCGAAGGGACTCAGAGTGGCTTACAAGATACACACACACAATATATTATATTATATTATTAGCATACTGTGTTATCAGTATTAAACATTACTATATTGTACTATACCATTATATTGTAATATTACTCGTAATATTCCATGTAATATAATATATATAATTATAATATATTATTGTCCCCCCACCCCTGACATTAAATCCAGTAGTGTCTGACTCTGGATGTGTTGCTCATCTCCATTTCTTTCTTTTTTTCAAATACTTTTTATTAAACATTTTAAACACCAACACAAGGAAAGAGGGAGAACAATAATAAAGAGCTCATCTCCATTTCTAAGCTGAAGAGCCGGCGTTGTCCGTAGACACCTCCAAGGTCATGTGGCCGGCATGACTCCATGGAGTGCCATTACCTTCCCACCGGAGTGGTACCTATTGATCTACGAACATTTTCATGTTTTCGAACTGCTAGGTTGGCAGAAGCTGGGGCTGATAGCGGAAGCTCACCCCGCTCCCCAGATTCGAACTGCTGACCTTTCAGTCAGCAAGTTCAGCAGCTCAGTGGTTTAACCCGCTGCGCCCCCAGGGAGATAAAGTGGGGTATAATAATAATAATAATAATAATAATAATAATAATAATAAATGCTTTCAATCCTTGTTTGCATCATGTACATGCTCTCAATCATCATTTGCACTCTGAACATGCTTAGGCACCCTCATTTGCACTATTGTATTACATTATAATATTATAAATATTTATAAAATCATTAATTATTTGTGGGTGGGGGATGCATAACGGCTGCTTGGCTTTTTAAAGACAGGCTCATCGCCTTGTTCTGCTGGGATTTCGGAGGAGATTCTGAAACCAAATGGTCAAGAGTTTCGGATAAAGATTGGATCAACTTTACTCCTGGAATTCTTTAAGAAAATCAATGTTTGGTTCTCCCGAATTTCTTTTTTTGGAAGGATCAGAGTAGATAATGCTGGGAAATTTTTGAAATGAATCCTGTGCTGTATGAAGTTCAAATGATTGAGCCTTGGGTTGACTTACCTCCTCTGGCGCCTTCTGGCTTTGGGAAGCTGTGTCCCCGGCCTACTAGCAACGCCAGCACCGGGATGACCAAAACCAGTTTCGGAAGCATCCTTCCGCCCCGTTATTTGTGGGGGAAGCCCAAAGGAGAGGACTGGAGCCTCTTAGCTGATGGAGGAAGGTGGAAAGGGGCTGCTAGGCAAGGATGCTTTCTGCTCTTCCTCCCAATCGGCTTGGAACAGGCTCAATGGAAGCCCACTGGAGCAGCTTGCAGCATTGGGAGCTGTTCAGTACCACTGGTGCTGAAAACGCCTGCGCCTTGAGGAGACTGGGAAAAGAGAGCTGGAAAAGAGAGAGATCCCTTGTTACGTAGCCGCCTCTTTTATTCCTCCCTCATCAGGCCGGAGGAGGAGGAGGAGAAAGAAGGGGAGGAGACCAGGGAGGGAAGGGAGGGGGGCTGCGGATGTGGGAGCATGCGTGTACCACCTGGCTGTGCACACACACACTCCCATGTACACACTCACCACTCTCTCTGGCCCTGCCTCTTGCTACTCTCGAGTGAGCTTTTCCAATTTACATGTTGTAGCGCTGTAGTCTAACCCCACTGTTCATCCTTTTTGGACCCCATACCTTGTGTGATTGTGGAGCAGAACAGGCAACTCTGCGTCTGTATGCTTGTCCACTATGCCCTGCCTCATGTACAGAGGAGGAATTGTTGGAGGCTACAGACAATGCCATTGCTGTTGCCCGTTTTTGGTCAAAAGATATTTAGCCGCCTGCACTCCTTCTATTTTTATCAGTTTATACTAATTTATGCAATGCTTTTGATACAAAATAAATAAATAAATAAAAATCCTTTTTGGGCTCCTCTCAATTACACTTTCTATTCCTACCTCAACCAGGGTTTTATCATTTTATTTATTTATTTGTTTGTTTATTTATTTATTTCGAGCTTTTATAACCCGGTCTTCTCGACCTCCAAAGAGGGACTCAGGGCGGCTAACAGCAGAGGGTTAAAAGATTATTATTATTATTATTATTATTATTAAACTTTATTTGTACCCCGCTAGCATCTCCCGAAGGACTCGATGCGGCTTACATAGGCCAAGGCCTCAAAACACAATACAACAATACAACACCTAAAGCAAATTAAAAACAGTTAAGCAATATTAACAACAAGCAATACACAATAAACCACAGTAAACATCACAAACATTTTACCTCGTCCATTTGGCCTGCCCATTGTGTTTGATTCTATACATGTCAATCTCCTTTGTTTATTTTATTTTGCTATTTTATGTATTTTATTCTGATGAAATTTTGTTGCTGCATTTTGTATTTTATTTTTCTGTCTTGTATCTTTGGGTTTGGCCTCATGTTAGCCACCCCGAGTCCCCTTCAGGGAGATAAATAATAATAATAATAAAATAATAATAATAATAATAATAATAATAATAAAACTTTATTTATACCCTGCTACCATCTCCCCAAGGGACTCGGTGAGGCTTACATGAGGCCAAGCCCACAGTACATCAATAACAAAAGTAATAACAAAACAATCAATGCAATACAATTAATATAAATCACATAGACAAAAAAAACAATAAACAGTAACACACAAGCATTTAAAAACAATGGCCGGGCCATATGTAATAATTTAAGATGGTAGCGGGGTACAAATAAAGTTTATTATTATTATTATTATCATTATTATTATACTAACCCCAAATCACAGTATGTCACAGGAAATGAGATTTATATGCTGGGTTTCGTATCACAAAATCACAAGTCGAACACTTCCCAAGCATCTAGGACTGTGTGATGTATTTTCGAATGATGCGCGCAGATCCAAGTCAGGTGGCCTTTTGCAGTTGACAGATTGTGATTTTGTTGATGTTGATTGTTTCCAAATGCCGGCTGAGATCTTTCGGCATGGCACCCAGTGCGCCAATGACCACTGGGACCACCTGGACTGGTTTATGCCAGAGCCTTTTCAATTCGATTTTGGGGTACTGATAATGGCTGAGTTTTTCCTGTTGTTTTCCTCACTGCAAATGTCACCTGGTAATCCATTTTTTTCTTTTCCACAGTTGTGATGTCTGGTGTGTTGTTGTTGTTGTTACGGAAAGCCATAGTCCTTCATGGCCAGAAACACTGGAGTGTTGTGCAATGCTGTCTTGTAGGGAAGTCCAGTGGATCCCGCAAAGGTTGTAAACGAAGCTCCGTCAGTGTCAAATTCCTGAAGGGATTGGGAGAAATATGACTTGTCCAACTACAGGAGGAGCCTGAGCAAAAGCAAGTGTGATTTATCTGCCTCCATGGCAGTGGATCCGCCAGGTATGATTTCCTGAAGTCGGAGGCACCAAAAATGAATGGATCTAGACCAACATGTATCCTTGCTGCCCACAAAACAGCTTTGTGAAGTGTCCAAGTTATGGTATTTATTTATTTATTTGCAACATTTATATGTCTCCCTTCTCACCCCGACGGGGACTCAGAGCGACTTACTATATATATGTGTGTGTGTGTGTGTGTGTGTGTGTATGTATATGTATGAATGTATACACACACACACACATACATATACAAGCAATACATTATATTATTAGCATAGTATAATATTAGTATTAAATATCACCATATTGTACTATACCATCATATTGTAATATTATTAGTAATATTTCATCTATATAAATAAAAATGTAATGTTAGTTTGTGGGATTAACATAACTCAAAAACCACTGGACGAATTGACACCAAATTTGGACACAAGACACCGACCAGGCCAACAAGTGATCATCACTCATTAAAACACTGAAAAACACAGCAGAAGAGACTTATAAAGCCAAAAAAAATGCATTACATTACAATGTATGTGCATAACCACATAAATATACATAAATACACAAGTATATATATACATACACAAAACACGTATACACAGACTGGGCCACAACAACACGTTCTCCTGACATCTCGCCTGCATCTGTGGCTGGCACTCCAGGAAAGCCATATGCCACCAATTCTGTTTAGATAATATATATAGATAATACAATAATAAAAAAATCACAACACTCCTTCAACAACAACAAGAATAATAATGATAACAATAATAATATCCTAGGCTCTTGGCAAGAGCCCGATATTCAGAGACGAATTCCACACATTGAATCTAATATGCATGTGTGCTGTGTTGTTATGTGCAAACAAATCTATAATAATAATAATATAAATAATATATATAATAAATAATAATATAAATATTAATAAAAATAAATAAAATAAAATAAATAAATATGATAAATAGTACAATAAATAATTTAAAAATAAAATAAATATGATAAATAATATAATAAATAAATAATATAAGAAATATATAAAATAATATAAGAAATCTCATTTGCTGTGACATACTGTGTTTTGGGTCAGTAAAATAATAATATAATAACAATAATATAATAACAATATAATAATATAATAACAATAATATTAAAATCTCAATGCTCAATGCTATGGGATCCTGGGAGTCATAGTTTTGCAAGATCTTGAGCCTTCTCTGCCAAAGAGAAGTACAGATCTAAGGATTCCATAGCCTTGACTGAAGTGGGTCAAACAGCAGCCCTTCTCAAGTTTGGACTACAACTCCCAGCATTCCCGGTGTATTAATGCCAATGGCTGCGCTGGCTGTAGCATTCTGGGAGTGGTAGTCCAAAAGCGTGAGGCTTGGCCGGCTTCCGCCTGAGGCGCCTGGACTTCAACTCCCAGAATTCCTGGTGCGTTAATACCAACAGCTGAGGCGGCTGGAGCATTCTGGGAGTTGTAGTAAAAAACGCGAAGGAAGGAGGGAGGCCTCTTCCTGAAGGAGGCTGTGGGGATTCCGGAAGTGAGGAGCGAGGCTCTGGGCCTTGGCTTCTGGGATGAAGCGGCGGCCGAGAAGAGGGGGAGGCGAGGCGGGGAGAAGCCGGGCATGAGCGACGTGGTGGAGCGGACGCTGAGCGCCTTGCCGGCCTTGCTGGGGCCCCAGGAGCCCGGCGCAGGGAGGGCCGGAGGAGGCGGAGGAGGCGGAGGAGGGAGGCAGGCCGCGTCGCGCCTCGGAGGCCTCATCCGGAGCATCACCGCCCTCGCCTCCAAACACGTAGGCTGGGAAGGAAGGGAAAGGGGCGGGGGACTCTGCACACGCCCAGAGGAGCCCTTATAGTTCCTCCCTTTGCATCTCTCAGGAAGGAGAACTCTGTACATACCCAGAGGAGCCATTGGTTAGGAAGGAGAACTCTGCACATGCCCAGGGAAACCCCTATATTCCTTCCCTCTGAGTTCGTCAGGAGGGAGACTCTGCACAAGTCCATAGGAGCCCTTATAGTCCTTTCTGTAACATTTGTCATGGGGGAGAACTCTGCACAGGCCCAGAGGAGCACTTATAGTCGCTTTCCTTTGCATCTGTCAGGAAGGAGAACTCTGCACACGCCCAGAGGAGCCCTTATAAGACTTCCCTTTGAGTTTGTCTAGAAGGAGAACTCTGCACATGACTAGAGGAGCCCTTTGTTAGGGAGGAGAACTCTGCACATGTCCAGGGAAACCCTTATATTCCTTCCCTCTGAATTTGTCAGGAGGGAGAGCTCTGCACAAGTCCATAGGAGCCCTTATATCCCTTTCCGTAGCATTTGTCATGGGAGAGAACTCTGCTCATGCTCAGAGGAGCCCATAGTTAGGCAGGAGAGCACTTCACATGCTCAAGGAAGCCCTTATATTCCTCCTCCCTTTCGGTTTGTCAGGAGGGGGAATTCTGCACATGCCCAGAGAGACCCTTATATGACCTCCCTTTGAGTTTGTCGGGAAGGAGAACTCTGCACATGCCTAGAAGAGCCCTTCTATTATCTAACTTTCAGTTTCTTGGGAGATTGTGTTTGTGTTTCTTGCATAACGAAAGTTGGCAGGGAAGCTAGACCGGAGCCCATATTTAGGCCAAAGAAACCTGGAGTAGATCTACACTGTGAAATTTCATGCAGTTTGACACCACTGTCACGCCATGACTTAGTGCTACGAAATCCTGGGAGTTGTATTTTGGTGAGGCACTGACGCTCTTTGACGGAGAAGATGAAAGACTTTGCCAAATCACGTGATTCCATAACATTGAGTGACAGCAATTGAAGTGGTGTCAAACTGCATTCGTTGTAGTGTAGATGCACCTTTACACAACAGACCTAATGGGGATTGCAGTCAAGGAAATACAGGGTGTCCCCAAAACAATGTATAAAGGTAAAAGTAAAGGTTTCCCCTTGACATTAAGTCTAGTTGTATCCGACTCTCGGGGTTGGTGCTCATCTCTATTTCTAAGCTGAAGAGCCGGTGTTGTCCGTAGACACCTCCAAGGTCATGTGGCCAGCATGACTGCATGGAGCGTCATTACCTTCCCGCTTGATCTCACTTGATCTACTCACATTCTTGTTAGTTCCCACAAGAGTAAGCTCATCAGATCAGTTTTTGGATGTTGAGTCAACAAATAGGTAAATCCAATTAATTTAATCAGTCCGCATTAGGCAGGACTGTGGATAGAATTTAGGCCCTAGCGTGGCAAAGATGCATTTTGTATTTGTGAAATGAAAACAGAAGTAATCTAATGATAAAATGCTCTTGAATTTTTCTGTCAGGAGGAAGAAAAGTTAATCCAACAGGAATTAAAGAGTTTGAAAGCAACCGTTTCTGCACCCACAACATCACTAGTAAGTTTTAAAGGCAGTTGCAGAAGCTGATATTTGGTGATACGTTTTACATGACTACTGATTGAGCATCTTCTGCCATTTTAAATGTCTCATTTCTTGTATTTCAGCGACTCATGAAAGAGTGCATGGTGAGACTGATATATTGCGAGATGCTGGGCTATGAGGCTTCTTTTGGATACATCCATGCCATCAAGTTAGCTCAGCAAGGCAACCTTTTTGAGAAAAGAGTTGGTATGTATTTCCCAGTATGTTGCTCAACAAAATCCATGTGTAGCTCTGATTATTTTCATAATATATTTTTGTATATACTTGAGTATAAGCTGAGTTTTTCAGCCTTTTTTTAGCCTGAACAAGCTCCCCTTGGCTTATACTCAAGTCAAAGTTATTTCTTATTTTATTCTTGTTATTATTATTTTACTGACACAAAAACACAGTATGTCACAGCAAACAAGATCTGTTATTATTATTATTATTATTATTATTATTATTACATTTATTCTTTTACTCCATGTATAATTATTATTACATTTATTCTTTTACTCTATTATTGTTATTATTACATTTATTCTTTTACTCTATTATTGTTATTATTACATTTATTCTTTTACTCTATTATTATTACATTTATTCTTTTACTCTATTATTATTACATTTATTCTTTTACTCTATTATTATTACATTTATTCTTTTACTTTATTATTATCATTATTGCATTTATTCTTTTACTCTATTATTGTTATTATTCCACTTAATTTTTACTCTATTATTATTACATTTATTCTTTTACTCTATTTTTACTGTTATTATTACATTTATTCTTTTACTCAATTTATTATTGTTATTATTACATTTATTATTTTACTCTATTATTATTACATTTATTATTTTACTTTATTATTATCATTATTGCATTTATTATTTTACTCTATTTATTATTGTTATTATTACACTTAATATTTTATTCTATTATTATTACATTTATTATTTTACTTTTTTATTACTGGTATTATTACATTTCTATTATTTTACTCTATTATTGTTGTTATTTTTACATTTATTATTTTACTCTCTTCATTATTATTGGAAGGATATGCAAGCACATTTACATTGAAGAAGGTTAGAATAATGATTTAATCAGAGTTGGACAGTCTTATCTTAAATTATGTAAATATTCAAAAACATTTAACCTTCTGATGCCTCAATTAATGTAATTGTATTGGTATCTATTTATATTTTGAAACTGACCTGTAGCTGCTGCATTTCCCACCCTTCGGCTTATACTCGAGTCAATATGTTTTCCCAGTTTTTTGTGGTAAAATTAGGTGCCTCAGCTTATATTCAGGTTGGCTTATACTCGAGTACATATGGTATTTGGGAGAAAATAAAGGATTGCTATGGCTGTTTAAGTGGCACATCTACATTTTGGAACCAATGTCATTTAGTGGCTAACGTATTAAAGTGGACTTTAGAGAAATAAAATATATCCGGATCTCTGAAGAGGAAAGTATAGTTAAATATTTTTTTAAATGTCACATCTATCGATGAATTTGTGATTCTTTTGGATGAACTGATTTTTGCTGTAATTTGTATGAATTGTACGAAGTGTATTTTAATGTATTTTATATTGATGACCTATAATGTTTTTCTTATTGTATTGAATTTTATGTTGTTAGCCGGCCTGAGTCCCTCCCCGGAGGTGAGAAGACCAGGGTATAAAAACTCTAAATAAATAAATAAATAAATATCTTAATTTTATTTCTTATTTTCCAGATCCTTTTAGCATTTATCTAGTGAACAGAAATGTTTTGTCTGTATTTTGCAAAATGACTTAAGTTTTGCTCAGATATGGAAATTGGAATGCCTAGTACCCACTTTTTTCTTTTGCCTTTTTAAAGGTTATTTGACAGTGTCCTTGTTTCTCCACGAAAACCACGAGTTGCTGCTTCTGCTTGTGAACACAGTTGTAAAGGTACAGTTTTGTGAGAGGTTTGAACGGACTAGATCGAAGCTCTCAATATGCCCTTATTAATAAAGACTTGTTTATCAATGACAAGCCAAACAACGGAGAAAATTGTACAGTTATTTCTGCTTATTCATAAATAATAATAATAATAATAATAAATAACACTTTATATCCCACCAAAGGGGACTCAGGGCAGATCACAGTACACACGCATGGCAAACATTCAATGCCGTTTGTATAGACAGTACAGAGACAGACAGACAGAACAGAAGGAGGTGTGTTGTTTCAACTCAGTGTCCAGCTTTTTGGTGGGCTGGAATCCAGCCATAGGGGGTGCTGTCGCTCCATCCTCTATAGTGAAGAGGCACCAGAACTTCCTCCTTCCTTTTGGTTGCCCAGCATTTTCCGATCTTTCTTTATGGCGTCATAAAACACCCCACCCGCTTTTAGCGGTACGTAATTTCTCTAATTGCAGCTAGAGCTGTTTTTGAACTGCTTAGGTCAACAGTAAGCTGGGCTGACAGGCAGCAGCTCATGCCGACCTGGGGCTTTGAACTTGCAGCCTTTTGGTTGGTAGATCTTATAATTGCTGTAAGGAAGATTATACCTAAAGTTTATGTTATTCTCTATTTATATTTTGAAAACAAAATGAGTTTTTCGGTAGGCTGTTAGGAATTGTGGGAGTTGAAGTCCAAAACACCTGGAGGGCTGAAGTTTGCCCATGCCTGGTCTAGGTGTTGCTTTATGTAGTTTTTCGTTCCCTCCAGTTGTAGAATGTACAAGAAATGAAACTTATCTTAGAAGCAAAGAGGGGTATAAGGGGAATTGAACCTCTGCAGGCAGGAAGTTGTGGTTTTTCTCTTAATTTGTACAGTGGGAAGTGCATCGGCAGAGTATTTGTCATGGTGTGTATGGGTTTCAGTAGGAGGATGTACTAGGAACATCCCAAGGAGGAAGCAGCTTTCTTCTTTAGGGTCTTGTTGACATGGTGGATTTCCAGATCATCTGTGCAATACTGTCCAAACCCAGGGTTGTCATGGATCTTGGCAAGGTGGCTGACGTTTTTGTTCTGCCGTGTGTTTCAGAGTAGTATATTGTTCTCTCTCTTTCCGCCCATGTTTTTGTTGTGGGGGTGCATTCCATATGGCAGTTGCTGCATCAGTCTAGTGATGCAATGCCTTCTGTTGGCATATTAACCCTGTTGTACCTTGGCCTGAGCCGCAAAAAGAAGCGGGTAATAAAATTATGATTATGATTATTGTGATTATTTTTGTGTCAGGAGCGATTTGAGAAACTGCAATTCGCTTCTGGTGTGAGCGAATTGGCCATCTGCAAGGACGTTGCCCAGGGGTCTCCCAGATGTTTGATGTTTTACCATCCTGTGGGAGGCTTCTGTCGTGTCCCCGCGTGGGGAGCTAGAGCTCGACAGGTGGGAGCTTACCCTGCTCCCTGGATTCGAACCACCAACATTTCGATTGACCAGTACAGCCGACACAAGGGATTATTACACAAGGGATTGTGGCGCAGCTGGCTGAGTGTCAGCTGCATTAAGATCACTCTGACCAATTACATTTTTATTTATATAGATATAGTAAATATACAAAAACCCAATCTGAATAATATATCCCAAGTTGCTGAGAGACAAAGTAACTCACTTTGATTTCCTCATTTGTGGCAGGATTTGCAGAGCACTAATCTGATGGAAGTGTGCATGGCTCTCACTGTGGCAAGCCAGATTTTTCCACGGGAAATGATCCCAGCTGTCCTTCCATTAATAGAAGACAAGCTTCAGCATTCAAAGTATGATCTTCTAGGAAATTAATTAATTAATTAATTTACAACATTTACTGTATATACTCGAGTATAAGCCTAGTTTTTCAGCCATTTTTTTAGGCTGAAAAAGTTCCTCTCGGCTTATACTCGGGTCAACGTTATTTAATATTTTACTCTGTTATTATTATTTTTATTACATGTATTATTTTACTCTATTATTATTATTGCATTTATTATTTTACGCAATTGTTATTATTACATTATTATTTTACTTTATTGTTATTATTATTACATGTATTATTTTACTATTTATTATTATTATTATTACATTTATTATTTTACTCTATTATTACTGTTATTATTACATTTCCATTATTTTCCTCTATTATTATTATTATTATTACATTATGTTACTCTCTTTATTCTTATTGTACATTTACATCAAAGAAGGTTAGAATCAGAGTTGGACAGTCTTATCTTAAATTACAGTGTTATATAAATATTCAAAAACATTTAACCTTCTGATGCTCCAATTAATGTAATTTTATTGGTATCTGTTTTTATTTTGAAACTAACCAGTAGCTGCTGTATTTCCCACCCTAGGCTTATACTCGAGTCAATACATTTTCCCACTTATTGTGGTAAAATTAGGTGCCTCGGTTTATATTCGGGTCGGCTTATACTTGAGTATATACGGTATATGCTGCCCTTCTTACACCGAAGGGGACTCAGAGTGGCTTACAAGATATATATGCATACAACACATTATTTTATTTGTATAGTACAATATCAGTATTATATATTACTATAATGTAATATTCAATTATATTGTAATTGTTGCAACCCAGAGCAGGAAACGAGACCCTAAGATAAGAATCCACCACACTTGACTGTGGGAAAAACAATCCCTTTTTATTGATGAAAAATGGTTACAAAATAGAGGAAAATGCAAAGTCAAAAAGCCACAGTAAAAATCAGCAATCACAAATATCCATGAACTAGATCAAAAACCAAAAGCAACACTGTAAAATCCTGGAACCTGTTAGCAATCCACTAACCGTACTTGGAGCACTAGAAGCCTCTTGGGATGAAGGCCACGGGAAACGGGAGATCTGCCAAGGTAATGCCTCAGTCTAAAACGATGCCTGATCTAAAGACTCAACCCGGCGAGAGGCATTTAAAGCCGAGGAAACTGTTTCGTGACACGCCTCCAGGCTTTGAAGCCCTTGTTTCTTTTTCTTTTAATCTGCTTGACCTTCGCAAACTCTGCGATTCACTCCTGTTTCTCCAAATCTGTCCTCTTCTATCCTCATTAAGGATCCCAGGTGTTAGCCTCTCTGGAGAGCTATCACTGCTTGACCCTGAAACATTCTCAGGAGATTGTGTACTTTCACTTTCCCCTGCAGGAGTTTCTTCTACACTGACCTCAGAATCAACATTTTCATTAGCATCAGGAGCATCAGAAAATACATTTTCAATAGCATCAGGAAATACAATCAGAGAAGCAGGTTCAGGTTCACACCCACGCTGAACCCCAACAGTAATATTATTAGTAATATTACATGTAATATAAAATATATAATTATAATATCAGAATCAATATAAATTATATATTAAATAATTATACATTAAATAAAAATATAAAATTCAGAGTCTATTGTTGCAAGCACTTACTTTTCCAGATGTGTTTGGACATAACAATTGGGTTCAACCACATGAATGAAATTGTTTGTTTTTTAGGGAAATCATTCGAAGGAAAGCGGTTCAGGCCCTGTACAAATTCTACCTTATTGCGCCCAACCAAGTCCAGCACATCCATGACAAATTCCAGAAGGCGCTTTGTGACAGAGATGTAGGAGTGATGGCTGCTTCATTACACATTTATCTCCAGTTGGTGAAGGTGGGTGAATAATTGAATTGAGTTTGTGACTTAAGCAAAGGGCTGAAAACAATAGAAAACACCATGAATAGTGGGTATTAACAACATGGTGTTTTTATACTCCCCATTTCCAGTGTTTGTGCTAATGTAGAAATGCATTTGCACATCTAGTATTTAACTGTGTTATTTTTATTTGATTTTAAGCTTGAAAATGTTCTGCATGAAAAAAAACCCCTGAAATTAAAACCGAAACAGCGACAACTTGTGTTTTCTACAGTATTATGTCAAATTTCTTAATGACATGTTTTGCCTTTTTGTCTAGGAAGATTCCTCTGGATACAAGAACTTGACAGGCAGCTTTGTAGCTATTTTGAAGCAGGTCGTAGGAGGAAAACTTCCTGTCGACTTCAACTATCACAATGTACCTGCACCTTGGCTACAGATTCAGCTTTTAAGAATATTGGGGCTCCTTGGAAAGGATGATGTAAGGTAAGCCTTCCCTTTTTTTATGCTTCTAGGAAGCTGAGTTGTTGCTTCTTGTATTTAGCTAATATTCTCCCATGAAGTAGTGCAAAAGAATTAAGTGGTGTAGTTTTGCAAGATTAGCTCTTCTATTGTAGGCTTGGTCCAATTTCTTAAGTAGTCTTTGAGATATGGGTAGACGGGTTAAAAATACTTTAATATTAATTTCTAATAATCTACTTGTGTTTTTATATATATATATATATATATATATATATATGCTCTGTGCATAATGAGTACCTTAAAAACAAAAAAACCAATGAACGAAATCATACCAAATTTGGCAGCAAAATGTCTCATAACACAAGGAGTGACCAAAAAATTATGATTTTGTCATTTGGGAGTTGTAGTTGCTGGGATTTATAGTTCACCTACAATCAAAGAGCATTCTGAACTCCGTCAACGATGCAATTGAACCAAACTTGGCACACAGAACTCCCATGACCAACAGAAAATACTGGAAGGGTTTGGTGGGCATTGACTTTGAGTTTGGGAGTTGTAGTTCACCTACATCCAGAGAGCACTGTGGACTCAAACAATGATAGATCTGGACCAAACTTGGCACAAGCACTCAATACGCCCAAATATGAACACAGATGGAGTTTGTGGGAAATAGACCTTGACATTTGGGAGTTGTAGTCACTGGGATTCACAGTTCACCTACAATCAAAGAGCATTCTGAACCCCACGAACGAAATAGACCTTGACGTTTGGGAGTTGTAGTTACTGGGATTTATAGTTCACCTAGAATCAAAGAGCATGCTGAACCCCACCAACGACAGAATTGGGGCAAATTTTCCCCATGACCAACAGAAAATACTTAAGGCCATCCAGTCCAACTCCCTTCACAAGGGCAAGAAAATGTAATCAAAACCCTCCTGACAAAGAGCCATCCAGCCATAGATATAGATAGATAGATAGATAGATATGATTCACACACAGAGAGAGATAGTATCATAGATTTGAAAGGGATCCTTAAAGAAGAGCAATGATATGTTGCGTGTTCCAGGGTGGGCAAACCGGACACTCTCCACGTCAACACTGACAAAGAAACAGCAAGAAATACTGTTTATCCACAAGCATAAAGAAATTACATATATTAGAAACCAACACTTTCTCATTACTTTATTTTCTAGATCAACAGACTGGGCCACAGCAACGTGTGGCAGGGGACAGCCTGTGTGTGTGTGTGTGTGTGTATGTATATGTATGTATATGAATTTCAAATGAAATTCCATCACCTAATGAAATTCTATCACCAATAATAATATACTTTATTTATATTCCGCCCAATCACCCCGAGGGGACTCAGGGCGGATTACAGTACACAAATATGGCAAACATGAAATGCTGTTATACAATGAACAAAGACAGACAGTACATAAACAGAGGTAAAGGCTTCCCATCTTTTTCCGTCGCTGGCATCTGAAGGCTATGCTTGACTCCAGCCACAGGGTGGTGTGTATGTGTGTGCTGTCGCTCCAACTTCCATGCCGAGGAGCTTTCTTGTCTTTAGACGCTCTCCTGATCGAATTGCCAGCATGTCTGCATGGGCACCTTTTATTACCTTCCCACCAAAGCAGTGCTTATTTATCTACTTGCATTACTGTTTTCGAACTGCTAGGTGAGCAGAAGCTGGGATGATATTTGGGAGCTCACCCCAACTCAGACTTGACCTGTCGACCTTTCGATTGGCAAGATTTTTTTATAACTGACGGTTTAACCTGCTGTGTTAAAGCCTGGCCCACCATGGGATGGTGAAATTTAACTGAATTGTTTTGAATACTAATACTGTTTTAATATTTGTATATTTATATATTTTAAATTGTAGTGCAATGCTTTTAATGTTAGCCCCTTTGAGTCTCCTTATGGAGAGAAAAAAAACTCAGGATATAAATAAAAATTATTTATTTATTTATCTACAAGATTTCTACCCTGCCTTTCTTACCCCGGAGGGGACTCAAGGCAATAACAACAACAACAACAACAACAACAACAACAAGGGGCTGCGGTGGCACAACAGGTTAAACTGTTGAGCTGCTTAGCTTCCTAATCTGAAGGTTGGCAGTTCGAATCCACAAGACAAGGTGGGCTCGTGCTGTCAGCCCCAGCTCCTGCAAACCTTGCAGTTCAAAAACATGAAAATGTGAGTAGATCAAAAGGTACTGACTTGGTGGGAAGGTAAAAGGGGGCCCACAATGTCATGCGGGCAACAAGACTGAGAGATGTCTATGGTCAACACAAATTCCTTGGCTTGGAAATAGAGATAAGCACCTCCCCAAGAGCCAGAGGTGAAAGGCGAAGCCTTTGCCTTTGTCTGTGTATTTGTGTTTCATTGTATGTTTCAAAGACATTGAATGTTTGCCTGTGGCTGTATATACGCTGAAATCCACTCTGGGTCCCCTTGGGGAGACAGGGCAGAATACAAATAAAGTGTTGTTGTTATTATTAATGCTGTTATCTTATTAGGTGCACTGTGTGTTTACATTTTGACCTGAGATTTAAATTACAAGATGGATTTTGAATCACAAAAATATTATGCATTTTGCTCACGTTTCTTCCTTGTAGTTGTAAGCAAGAAAACATGGTAAATAAATAAATGTAATCTGTCAGTGGACTAGTGGATTGTGTAGCATCTGATTTTTATGCTTAAGTAACTGCTCTTGAAAACTTACCATTTTGTAACAGGACCAGTGAATTAATGTACAATGTTTTGGATGAATCTTTAAGAAGGGCAGAGATCAACCACAACATCACATATGGTAGGTCTAAGTATATTTTCATAAGAAAAACGTATGAGATAATGTCTAGCAGGGGGACTAGCTTAAGTCATGTGCACAGAAGGAGAAAATGTTTAGGATGGTTGGGTTGTTGTAGGTTTTTCCGGGCTATATGGCCATGTACTAGAGGCATTTTTTCTTGACGTTTCGCCTGCATCTATGGCAAGCATCCTCAGAGGTAGTGAGATCTGTTGGAAGTAGAAAAAAGGGTTTATATCTCTGTGGAATGATGACCAGGGTGGGACAAAGGACTTTTGTCTGCTGGAGCTAGGTGTGAATGTTTCAACTGACCACCTTGATTACCATTTAATGGCTTGGAAGTGCCTGGGGGAATCTTTTGTTGAGAGGTGATTTGATGTGCCTGATTGTTTACTCTCTGTTGTTTTGCTGTTGTAATTTTTGAGTTTCTTAATACTGGTAGCCAGATTTTGTTCATTTTCATGGTTTCTTCCTTTCTGTTGAAATTGTCCACATGCTTGCGGATTTCAATGGCTTCTCTGTGTAGTCTGACATGCTGGTTGTGAGAGTGGTCCAGCACTTCTGTGTTCTCAAATAATATGCTGTGTCCAGGTTGGTTCAACAGGTGCTCTGCTATGGCTGACTCTGGTTGAAGGAGTCTGCAGTGCTTAGGATGGGTTTTTTTTTTGGAAACTGCTTTGAGTCCCCATGGAGGAGAAAAGCAGTATACAATCAGGTGATGAATTTGATATTTCATATAACCAATGAAATCCTAACCCTAAAAAAGCTCTCAACAAAAAAAGTATTGGATATTATTTAGTGTTGCTACTATGAATAGTCGTCCTTTGGAAGGAAGTGGTATCTCTATGGATGGAAGTTCCGTAACTGATATTTTCTGCTCTGTTTCCTTTCTCCTTCTTCAGCCATCTTGTTTGAATGCGTCCAGACAATTTACACTATTTACCCTAAATCTGATCTCCTCGAGAAGGCTGCCAAATGCATTGGGAAATTTGTTTTGTCACCTAAAATTAATTTGAAGTATTTGGGTAAGTCCTTAGTTCATAACATCTAATGCGTTTGATGCTGAATGCTTTCGTGTTTTGGCCAATGTTGCAGTAACGTCTCTTTCTAGGATTAAAGGCCCTGACATATGTCGTCCAGCAGGATCCCACCTTGGCCCTGCAGCACCAAATGACCATCATTGAATGCCTAGACCACCCTGACCCTATTATTAAAAGAGAAGTAAGTTTGAATTCTAACACTTCTTCCAAACTTCAAGTCAGAATTTCACATTGTAAATATTCTGCTTTGAGGCTGCAGTTTGCCATGTCTGAGAAACTGTATGGATACTGTTTTTGAGCAAACATTTGTCAAAAGGAGATACATTGTAATGATTCATAGTTTTAGGTTGATCTAGTAGTAGAATATAGGCATGGTTAGGTTCGGTCAGAATCTTCGTAATTCGGAATAAATTCGGAATATTTTCCTTTTTGAAGCAATTTCTGAGTTTTTAAGGAAACTGGAAATCCATTTGCCCTTCCGAAGCTTTTTCTGCCATTTTTTGTATGAATCAGTAAATGAGTCGGAAATGATTCAGCTTTTCCCCCGCTTCTGCTCCCTGGCCTCAGTTCAAGCCAGAGAATCGTTCTAAATCAGTGTGGATGGATTCCCTTCCTTTCCTTTCCCTCCTGTGAGAGAAGTGGTTTAAACCAGTGTGGATGGATTCCCTTCCTTTCCTGTCCCTCCTGCATCAGTTTAAACCAGTGTGGATAGATTCCCTTCCTTTCCTTTCCCTCCCGTGAGAGAAATGGTTTTAACCAGTGTGGATGGATTCCCTTCCTTTCCTTCCCTCCCGCGAGAGAAGTGGTTTTAACCAGTGTGGATGGATTCCCTTCCCTTCCTTTCCCTCCTGCATCAGTTTAAACCAGTGTGGATGGATTCCCTTCCTTTCCTTTCCCTCCTGCATCAGTTTAAACCAGTGTGGATGGATTCCCTTCCTTTCCTTTCCCTCCTGCATCAGTTTAAACCAGTGTGGATAGATTCCCTTCCTTTCCTTTCCCTCCCTCGAGAGAAGTGGTTTTAACCAGTGTGGATGGATTCCCTTCCTTTCCTTTTCCTCCAGCGATATAAGCGGTTTTAACCAGTGCGGATGGATTCCCTTCCTTTCCTTTCCCTCCTGCGTAAGTTTAAACCTGTGTGGATGGATTCCCTTCCTTTCCTTTTCCTCCCACTTCAGTCTTAAGCAAGAGAAGCTGTTTTAACCAGAGTGGATAGATTTCTTCCCCTTGTTCCCCCCCTCTCTTCTGGAACAAAACAACTGCTTTCAAAGTAAAGACCACCCAATGAAACAGGAAATAACACTTTGAAACCATTAATGAAGGATTCAGAAGTCTCTGAAGTTTTGCAAAGTTTTGAACTTTTTTTTCTGTGTAAATCGGAATTGACTTTAGATCCAATTCACCAGTGTCCTCTACATCTGAAACCGGTTTTGAACCATATGTTTTTTGGATCAAACAAGCCTAGTGGAATCGTTATTCATCCAAATCAGGCATGGGCAAACTTTGGCTCTCCAGATGTTTTGGACTTCAGCTCCCACAACTGGTAGGCTGTTAGGAATTGTGGGAGTTGAAGTCCAAAACACCTGCAGGGCCAAAAAGTTTGCCCATGCCTGATCTACGTCATTTTATATTTATCTAGATACATAATTAAAGTGAAAATATGTATGTATGCCTGTGGCTGGGGTGTCCACTTGCACAGACAATCTCCTGCCTCCATGAACAGTTGTAGCTCCCACTCCTCAGGAGACACTCAAGGCCTTCCCTCCAGTGACATTACAGGTTAGAGTGAGTGCCATGAACAGATACAAAACCCCTGACAATGTCCTCTACAAACACCATACTGCCTGTCACCCAAATGAAGGCTTTCATACAGGGACCATTTCATCCTCCACCACAGGCATCCCAGTGTTTCTTTCTCTCTCCATTGGTGTGGAATTTGCATGACCCCTCCCACTGCCAGTCTCATAACTCTTTCCTACCCTTTCCTATGGCACACAGCAAACAGAGAGGAATTGATCAGCAATTGAACATACTAGAGGAGTTTGGGGGACTGACTCAACGTGATGGAAGTTGTAGTTCACCCTGCATCAAGACAGAGCACTGTGACCCCCACTAACAATGGATCTCAACCACATTTGGTACATAGAACCCCCATGACCAAGGCAAAATACTGGAGAGGTTTGGGAGGAATTCATCTTAATTTATAGGAGTTGTAAATGCTGGGATGTGTAGTTCACCTGCAATCAAAGAGCACTCTAAACCCCACCAGTGGTGGATCTGCAACTAACTTGGCACACAGAACCCTCATGACCAACAAAAAATACTGGCCGTCTTTAGGTGGATTTATAAGAGTTGTTTACCTACATCTAGAGAGCTTTGTGAATCCAAAAGCCGATGGATCTGGACTAAACTTGGCATGCATATCTGATATGGCCAAATTTGATTACTGGAGGAGTTTGGGAGAGATTGACCTTGAGTTTTGGGAGTTGTAGTTCACCTACATCCAAAGACACTGTGACCATCACTGACAATAGACAGGGACCAAACTTGACAGACAGAACCCTCATGACCAACTAGTATGTGGATAGATTCCCTTCCTTTCCTTTCCCTCCTGTGAGAACCTACTGTAGGGGTTTGAGGGGACTGACTCACCATGGTGGGAGTTGTAGTTTACCCTGCAGCCAGAGTGCACAGACCCCAGTGAGGATGCATCTAGAGCAAACTTTCTCAACATGACAAACTAAGTACTGATGGAGTTTCAGGGGGTTAGCCTGGCATGATGTGAGTTGTAGTTCACCCACTACCTTATGCATTTTGTAAAATAAAAAAATTGACTTCATCAAATAACCTGGCCAATGCTGAGTCCCCAAGCTAGTGTAGAATAAAGGTGAATACATCGGTCGTGTTTCAATTTGTATAATTGTTTTATTCCAGGCATATGTTTGAAACACATTTTGCCATTTTTGCATTTCTGTATGCTTTTATTTTTCAAAAATATATCTGCTTATACCTTCGTATAACTGAGATTTAATGGGTTTTATACTATTTCTGCTCTTTAGATTGTTCCTTTAGATTTTACTGTTGCATGATAGGTCTGTCATGAAACATTCATTCACTTTGGTTTCTCCTTCAGACATTGGAACTTCTGTACAGAATCACCAACGGGCAGAACGTCACAGTCATTGTTCGGAAGATGCTTGACTACCTAACGCAAACCAAGGAAGAATATACCATTATCAACATTGTTGGCAAAATAGCCGAATTAGCGGAGAAATATCCTTCCTTTGAGAGTTTTTGGAACAGAAACATAAATGGTTATTGAGGGATTTGGAACCCTAGGCTCTCTTAATATTTAGGCTTCCAATTAGAGTAAGTTGCACCCGGCATTGGCTAATGATAGGTGATTGTGGGAGATGCAAACCAAAACATTTGGAGGACCATAAGGACCCTATCCTTGTAGTAGATATACTACTTAGCACTTGAAAGGAGAGGAAGATGAAAGTGTGTCAGAATTTAATATTAATAATAATAATATACTTTATATTTCGCTGTATCTCCTTGACGGGACTCAGACGGATATAATATAATGTATTGTATATATATATATTATATTTATAATATTATAATGTAATACAATATAAAACTAATAATAATAATACAATATTATAATTATATAATTTATATTACATGTAATATTACTAGTAATATTACAATATAATGGTATGGTACAATATAGTAATATGTAATACTGATATTGTACTATACTTTGGGGTAAGAAGGGTGGCATATAAATGTCGTAAATAAATAAAATGAATAAATATATGGCAAACATTCAATGACATACAATTAACAAAGACAGTACATAAACAGATAAAGGCTTCCCATTTTTTTCTATCTCTGGCATCTGGAGGCTTTGTTTGACTCTAGGTTCTTGTGGGTTTTTTCGGGCTATAGAGCCATGTTCTAGAGGCATTTCTCCTGACGTTTCGCCTGCATCTATGGCAAGCATCCTCAGAGGTTGAGAAGGTCAACCTCTGCCTACCTCACACAGAGGCTTCTCTCATAGACTTAGGCCTACCTCACATTTTGAGGCCTTCTCTCAGACAGAGACCTTTCTCCCACTGAGGTTTACCTCCGTCTGACTGCTACTTAGCTACAGGCAGACCTGCCTACCTCACACAGAGGCTTCTCTCACAGACTTAGGCCTATCTCACACTATGAGGTCTTCTCTCAGACAGAGACCTTTCTCCCACTGAGGTTTACCTCCGACTGACAGCTACTTAGCTACAGGCAAACCTGCCTACCTCACACAGAGGTTTCTCTCACAGACTTAGGCCTACCTCACACTGTGAGGCCTTCTCTCAGACAGAGACCTTTCTCCCACTGAGGTTTACCTCAGACTGACTGCTACTTAGCTACAGGCAGACCTGCTTATATAATGGATGCTAAGCCATTGCATCCATTTAACCATTTCAGTCCTTGATTCACATTTTTTGTAATTTAAAATACCTAGTGATTTTTTAATATTTCTGACACTAACATCATTGATGTAGGATTGGACAGCTGTGAACCTACAAAGGGAGAAAAATCCATATCTGATGTTCCAATGTACTTTTCCTTAATGTTCACGGCACATATGCTCCTGACAATGAATGGTTCATCCAGACCATGAATGCAGTATTTTCCATAGGAGGGGATAAAATGCATCCAGACATCCCAAACAGTTTCTTGCGACTCCTTGCTGAGGGTGAGCCGAGCAAGTACAACTCCGTAGTGAAAACAAATTTACTGCTAATTATTTTTTTAACAATATCAACAAAATCACTGCTAATTAGAAAAGAACTGTTATGTTTTTTCTAGGGTTTGAAGATGAAAAGGAAGATAGCCAGCTGCGGCTTCATGCTGTCCAGTCCTATCTGAAGTTGCTACAAGACGAAAATGCAGTTTACCCACAGAAATTTGTTCAAGTGATGAGTTGGGTAAGAGTGGCATGGATTCAAATGTGAGAAGGCAATGCTCCAGAACATGTGCAGCACAAAAAATTGGATTTCTAATATACTGTTGGCTCTCCACATTTGCAGTTTGATTTTTGCGGATTTGATTAAAATGTTCTCTATAGAACAGTTTCTCAACCTGGGGGTCAGGACCCCCAGTGGGTCACTAGTGAATTTCAGAGGGGTCACCAAAGGCTATCAGAAAACACATATTTCTGATGGTCTCAGGAACCCCTTTGGCAGAGAAGGCTGAAGATCTCTCCACCTGTTCTTCTCTTCCCATTTGGAAACAGATGGAGAACCCTCCCACCAAAAGCCCTCCTCCTGTTGTGATTGGCCGGCCTCTCCACTGTCCTCTCAGCCAAGGGGAGGGCTGTTTCTGAAACTCCAAGCAGGGAGGGGAGAGCAGGCGTGCTCAGTGCATGGCAGCGTGGTGTGCGGGTGAGGGAGAGCATGCAAGGCTGGAAAGAGGCTCGCGTCCCTTCAAGGCAGGGGGAAAAGCATCCTTTGTAGGTTAACTATAAATCCCAGCAACTGCAACTCCCAAAAGACTACAACTACAATTCTCAAATGACAAAATCAATCCCTTCCTCCCACCAAAAGCTCTCCTCCTGCTGTGATTGGCCGGCCTCTCCGCTGGCCTCTCAGCCAAGGGGAGGGCTGTTTCTGAAACTCCAAGCAGGGAGGGGAGAGCAGGCGTGCTCAGCGCATGGCAGCATTTATTATTTTGCTCTATTTATTATTGTAATTATTACATGTATTATTTCACTCTATTTATTATTGTAATTATTACATGTATTATTTCACTCTATTTATTATTGTAATTATTACATTTATTATTTCACTCTATTTATTATAATTACATTTGTTTGCTCTATTTATTATTGTAATTATTACATGTATTATTTCACTCTATTTATTATTATTACATTTATTATTTTGCTCTATTTATTATTGTAATTATTACATGTATTATTTCACTCTGTTTATTATTATCATTACATTTATTCTTTTGCTCTATTTTTATTGTAATTATTACATTTATTATTTCACTCTATTATTATCGTTACATTTATTGCTCTATTTATTATTGTAATTATTACATTTATTATTTCATTCTATTTATTATTATCATTACATTGATTAGTGCTTTATTTATTATTGTAATTATTACATTTATTATTTCACTCTATTTATTATTGTCATCGTTACATTTATTGTTTTGCTCTATTTATTATTGTAATCATTACATTTGTTATTTTATTCTATTACTGTTATTATTACATTTCCATTATTTTACTTTTATTATTATTTTTATTACATTTATTGAAAAGACATGTAAACACATTTACATTGGTTAGAATAATGGTTTAATCAGAGGGCTGTTGTAGGTTTTTTCGGGCTATATGGCCATGTTCTAGAGGCATTCTCTCCTGGCATTTCGCCTGCATCTATGGCAAGCATCCTCAGAGGTAGTGAGGTCTGTTGGAACTAGGAAAGGGGGTTTATATATCTGTGGAATGACCAGGGTGGGGCAAAGGACTCTTGTCTGCTGGAGCTAGGTGTGAATGTTTCAACTGACCACCTTGATTAGCATATAATGGCCTGACAGTGCCTGGAGCAAACGTTTGTTGAGAGGTGATTAGATGTCCTTGTTTGTTTCCTCTCTGTTGTTGTGCTGTTGTAATTTTAGAGTTTTTAAATACTGGTAGCCAGATTTTGTTCATTTTCATGGTTTCCTCCTTTTTGCTGGAATTGTCCACATGCTTGTGGATTTCAATGGCTTCTCTGTGTAGTCTGACATGGTGGTTGTGAGAGTGGTTCACCATTTCTGTGTTCTCAAATTTCTGCATTTGATGGTCCCTATGTAGACTTGTCCACAGTTGCATGGTATACGGTAGACTCCTGCAGAAGTGAGAGGATCCCTCTTGTCCTTTGCTGATCGTAGCATTTGTTGGATTTTCTTGGTGGGTCTGTAGATAGTTTGTATGCTGTGTTTTCTCATGAGCTTCCCTATGCAGTCAGTGGTTCCCTTGATGTATGGCAAGAACACTTTTCCTCTGAGTGGATCTGGTTTAATCAGAGTTTGGCAGTCTTTCCCACCCTCAACTTACACTCTAGTCAATAGGTTTTCCCAGTTTTTTGTGGTAAAATTAGGTGCTTCGGCTTATATTCGGGTCGGCTTATACTTGAGTGTATACAGTAAGAACCTGTTCTAATTTTCCTATGACAGGTGCTGGGAGAATATAGTTGTCTTATGACCGATGTGGACCCCGAAGTTGTCTTGGCAAGTTTGCATAGGATTCTGGAGAGGAAGGCCACTTCTGAAACGAAAGCCTGGATTATGGCTGCAGTCACGAAAATAGCATCTCGTTCGATGTGTTCAGAAACTGTTGATAAACTCATCATGGAATTCAGTACCTCCCTGGATACTTGCATGAGGCAGTACGCCTTCGAATTAAAGCATCTTTATGAAGACAAGGAATTGATGAAGAAGTTGTTCCCCGTTGATGCTAGTTATGAGGATAGAGTGGTAAGTCCATGCAATCCTTTGTCTTTGAAACTTGAGCAATTCTTTCTGTAGATGCTGGAAAGAAGAGTACGTCGGTCTTGTATGTCTTAAAACAAAAGATCTAGGTAGATGGTTGAATTCAGCGGGGTCCAGCCTTTGATCCTCCTGGTGTTTGGGACTCCAGTGCTCAGGAATCCCGGAAGCTGAAGTCCAAAAAACCTGGCAGAGCAAAGATTGGACGCCAGTGATCAGTGGTTCTCAACCTGGGGGTCGGGACCCCTGAAGGGGTCGCGAGGTGGTGTCAGAGGGGTCGCCAAAGACCATCACAGACAGTATTTTCTGTTGCCCATGGGAGTTCTGTGTGGGAAGTTTGGCCTAATTCTATCGTTGGTGGGCTTCAGAATGTTCTTTGTTAGTGGGTGAACTATTAATTCCAGCAACTACAACTCCCCAATGTCAAGGTCTATTTTCCTTGAAATTCACCAGTGTTCACATTTGGGCATATTGAATATTCGTGCCAAGTTTGATCCAGATCCATCATTGTTTGAGTCTACAGTGCTCTCTGGATGTAGGTGAACTACAACTCCCAAACTCAAGGTCAATGCCCACCAAACCCTTCCAAGTATATTCTGTTGGTCATGGGAGCTCTGTGTGCCAAGTTTGGTTCAATTCCATCATTGGTGTAGTTCAGAGTGCTCTTTGATTGTAGGTGAACTATAAATCCCAGCAACTACAACTCCCAAATGACAAAATCATTTTTTTTGAGTGAAGGACATACATTGGGTTGTTAGGTGTCTTGTGTCCAAATTTGGTGTCAATTCGTCCAGTGGTTTTTTGAGTTCTGTGATTCCCACAAACGAACATTACATTTTTATTTATATAGATTATTAGGAATATTATTGTATGTAATATAAAATATATAATTATAATATCATTAAAGGATGTTTTAATGTCAGGCATCATATCCACAAGTCTTGTATCTAAATTCAAGCACTCTCCTGACTAAAGAAAACAAAGTTGGCAGCTATTCAGATATTGCTGTATCACAACTCCCATCAACTATGGTCATGCTGTCCAGTAAAGAGGAAAATAGGAGTTGGAGTCTAGCATCTGGAAGGCCACATGAAATGACATGAAAGACCAGATTCAGCCTCTGGGCCTTGAGTTTGAGAGGTGTGATCTATGGTACGGCTTTAACCTCTCCTCCTCCTCAGCTGTTTGATACAGAGATCCTCCTCTTTATGCATTGAAATGAAGTTGGAAGCTTTTAAACAGAGGCTGGATGGCCATCTGTCAGGGGTGATTTGAATGCAATATTCCTGCTTCTTGGCAGAATGGGGTTGGACTGGATGGCCCATGAGGTCTCTTCCAACTCTTTGATTCTATGATTCTATGATTCTATGAAGTGGGTGGGCAAAGTATAGATGTTGTACTTAGAACAACATGTTCCTCTTTGCATCACAGATTAACCAAAGTACACATAGCTTGATTTGGGGGTAAAGTGTGTTCCAGACTAATAAGAAGATGGGGCTCAGAAAGCATAATGGCATTTACTTGAGGAATGGGGACACTGTGTAATCAAACGTCAAGTTTTTGACATATTCTCTGATTCCTTATAGGTAGATGCTTCCTTATCTTTCTTAGATGGGTTTGTAGCTGAAGGACTAGACCGCGGTGCAGCCCCATACAAACCTCATCACCAAAGGCAAGAGGAGAAGTTGTCTCAGGAAAAAGGTGATTGCTTATTGACTCCGCCTGAAAGGATTTTTTTAAGCATAAGGTTAGAACAGGCATGGGCAAATTTTGCATCAAAATCAAAACTACCACATCAAAACCAATTGGAAAATGTCTGTCTCTGCCAAAAAAAAATATGAATTGTTCAAATGGAATGCATGTTTGTTTTCTTATCTTCTTGATGTTCCATGAAGCTTTTGCTGTGTCCAGGTTGGTTCATCAGGTGCTCTGCTATGGCTGACTTCTCTGGTTGAATTAGTCTGCAGTGCCTTTCATGTTCCTTGATTCGTGTTTGGGTAACGCTGCGTTTGGTGGTCCCTATGTAGACTTCTTGTCCACAGCTGCATGGTATATGGTAGATTCCTGCAGAAAGTTCATATACTTCTCTTTTCCCTGTATTTGCCTATGTTCTATAAAAGAATGGTGTGGTGTGGTTCATTGTAAGCAATTAGAACAAATTCTGCCAAGAAAACCCTATGCCATGTTTCCCTTAGGTTTGGTATATGTCAGAAATGGAGGTACACAGCAATAATAAGAATGGTTGGTGTGTAATGTGGGATGTGAAATATATGTGTGCAACACAATTTGAGCAAATATGTAGACTTCCCTATGCTGGTTATTGTCGTAAAGATTGATTGTTGAGTTTTAAGAGTGATTCTTAAAATGCAAGATACTCCATTTAGGCAGAAAAAAACGAAATGCAAAGATACAGAATGGGGGACAATGCCTGGCTCGAGACCAGTACATGTGAAAAAGATCCTCGTGGACAACAAGTTAAACATGAGCCAACAATGTGATGTGGCGGCAAAAAAAGCCAATGGGATTTTGGCCTGCATCAATAGGAGCCTAGTGTCTAGATCTAGGGAAGTCATGCTACCCCTCTATTCCGCTTTGGTTAGACCACATCTGGAATATTGTGTCCAATTCTGGGCACCACAATTGAATAGAGATATTGACAAGCTGGAATGTGTCCAGAGGAGGGCGACTAAAATGATCAAGGGTCTGGAGAACAAGCCCTATGAGGAGCAGCTTAAGGAGCTGGGCATGTTTAGCCTGAAGAAGAGAAGAATGAGAGGAGATATGATAGCCATGTATAAGTATGTGAGAGGAAGCCACAGGAGGAAGGAGCAAGCTTGTTTTCTGCTTCCATGGAGATTAGGACAAGGAACAATGGCTTCAAACTACAAGAAAGGAGATTCCATCTGAACATGAGGAAGAACTTCCTGACTGTGAGAGCCATTCAGCAGTGGAACTCTCTGCCTTGGAGTGTGGTGGACACTCCTTCTTTGGAAGCTTTTAAACAGAGGCTGGATGGCCATCTTTCAGGGGTGATTTGAATGCAATATTCCTGCTTCTTGGCAGAATGGGGTTGGACTGGATGGCCCATGAGGTCTCTTCCAACTCTTTGATTCTATGATTCTATTATTCCCCCTCTATTTGCAGCTTTGAATTTTGAACCTTATGGGCTGTCCCTGTCCCAAAGTTTCTCAGCATCTAGCTTTACTGGAAGGCAGTCCCCAACTGGACTTTCTCTGGGATCTGACATCTCTGGGAATAGCACCGAGACAGGACAGAAGGGGTGAGTTATGTTTCTTTCTCCACGGGACACTTGATTATGTATTTTTGATGTATTGGCCTGAAATCAGAAAGTGTCAGTAAAATTTGGCCTCAGAGCAACTGCTATGAGGCACGCAATGAAAACAAAGTGTACAGTCTTCATTCAAAGCCTTGAAGTGGCACATTTTATTTAGTTACTTTCTAACAGCTACAAAAACAACAAAACATAACTATGTACAAGAGAAATCACACACGCGTCTTGCTTCCTCTCCGGCATGGCTGGAAGAGAATGCCCAGCAGTCTGTTATCTCAAATCCACGTCATTAGAATGTGTGACGTATACAGAAAAAGCTCACAGCTCACTCTCTAGGCAGTAAATCGCTCTATGCCTTTAACTCTTGAATAACATTACATAGCATTACGTCCTGCATCGGACACCCAGAGTTTTAAAACTATAAACTGTATTACACACCAGTAAAAACACTATCGTACTGACAATATGCAGCATATCACAAGAGATAAATCAGTTAGTATTAGCTGTGGACATACAGTGCACGGGCATATCAGATATAAATCCCAGCAACTACAACTCCCAAATGACAAAATCATTTTTTTTGAGTGAAGGACATACATTGGGGCAAGTCCTTCCTACTTTCCTTCCTTCCTTCCTTCCTTCCTTCCTTCCTTCCTTCCTTCCTTCTACTTTACTTTGTACCTTTCTTCTCTACCTTCCCTCTCTGTTTCCTTCTTTCCTTTCTTCCTTTCTTTTTTTCTCCCTTTCTTCTCTGTTTGCTCCCTTCCTGTTGTTAATAGATACACATGAAAGTATTCAGTTTCCCATGAATTTTCCCCCCAACTTTTTCATGTAATCCCTGTGACCTATAATGCCTATTTTCTGCTCTGATCTGTAAATAAAAGCCTTTGATGATCTCTGTAGCTCCAGGTGTTTTTTCCTGGGAGCCTTCTGTATCACTTAGTTCTTCACCCAACTCCTTATCTAATGTTGCAGTTTCTGGCTCCTCTGACTGACCTTGAAGCCCTGCACTTTCCAAATCATATTTCTCACAGAGAAAAGCATCATTCCCCTGACTTGAATCTTCATCACTTCATGCCCCAGGGAATCCCACAGGCGATCCCATAATCCTCTCTAAATCATCAGTGAACCCACCAGACTCAGGAGCCTCCGCCTGATCTACAACACTCCCTTTCCTTCTCATTTTCTTCTCTTCCTTCCCTCTTTGTTTCCTACCTACCTTTCTTTCTCCCTTTTCTCCTTCCCTCTCTTTTTCCTATGTGCCTTTTTTCTCCTGAATTAAATGAGTGCACACTTCCATATAATCTATTTTAAAGCAGATAATCTGGATTTTATATGGCAGTGTAGATGGGGCCTGAGTAACTGAAATGAGGAGGTGCTCTTTCTCCATATCCAAGGCAAGGAACCTGTTGTCCGTAGACACCTCCTGGTCATGTTGCCGGCATGTTGCACCTTTATTACCTTCCTGCCGAAGCGGTACCTATTGATCTACTCACATTTACAAGTTTTCGGACTGCTAGGTTGGCAGGAGCTAGGGCTAACAGCCACAGCTCATCCTGACCTGCAGCTTTGAATTGCCAACCTTTAGGTCAGCAGATTCAATAGTTGTGGCAACGCGGTCCCACCTTTTTCTTTCACCTTCTGGGGGGAAATACCAAGTTTTAACCTTCCCCATTACTATTTCCTTTAGGGCCAACAATTTGAAGCTTGAAGGTATTAAGAAACTTTGGGGAAAAGAAGGCTACCTCCCACAAAAAGAAAGCCCAGTGGAAAATGAAGACAGCATCAAATCAGTTCTGCCCACCAGCACAATTCTGGAGAATATTGTCGGTAACTTTCCATCAACGTCTGAGCCAAAAACGCCTGTCCTTTCGGAGGGAGAGAAAGAGAAACAACAACTAGCTTCAACCCTCTTTGTTGGCCTGAGCTCACAAAGCAGCATCAGTCTGGTATGGCGGTTTATTCAAGCACCATAGCAGGGCCTGATTTCAGTTACTTTTAACATTTAATCTAAAAGTGTTCTGACCCTTCTGTCTGGTTCTGAAACATAGAGACCAGTTTCAAAAGCTGTGTTGTTTACTTTGGTGCAACCCAAGGTACAAATAATTGATTGGGTTTTCTAATTTGGGATTTTTTATTTATTTATTTTTTGTCGTGTCAGGAGTGACTTGAGAAACTGCAAGTCACTTCTGGTGTGAGAGAATTAGCCGTCTGCAAGGACGTTGCCCAGGGGACGCCCGGATGATTTGATGTTTTTATCATCCTTGTGGGAGGCTTCTCTCATGTCCCCTCATTTAGAGTTGGAGTTGATAGAGGGAGCTCATCCGCCTCTCCCCAGATTTGAACCTGCAACCTGTCCGTCTTCAGTCCTGCCAGCACAGGGGTTTAACCCACTGCGCCACCAGGGGCTAATTTGGGATATACCATATATACTCAAGTATAAGCTGAGTTTTTCAGCCCTTTTTATAGGCTGAAAAACCCCCCATGGCTTATACTCGAGTCAAGGTTATTTATTATCTTACTCTGTTATTATTTGTATTTTTATTACATATATTATTTCAATCTATTATTATTATTATTCCATTTACATTATTTTATGCCATTTTTATTTTTTTAACATTTATTATTTTACTATATTATTATTGTTATTATTCCACTTATATTATTTCATGCTATTATAATTATTTCTTTAACATTTATTATTTTACTCTATTATTATTATTATTATTATTATTATTATTCCACTTACATTATTTTATGCCATTATTATTATTTCTTTAATATTTATTACTTGACTCTATTATTATTCCATTTACATTATTTATGCCATTATTATTATTATTATTATTATTATTATTATTATTTCTATTATTTCTATTACATTTATTATTTTACTGGAGCACTCAAGGGCCAGGGCTTCCCAGTTCTCAGTGTCTATGCCAGAGTTTTTAACAGGTGCATAACCAAAATAAACATTGAGTCTTGTTGTCACAAATGGTGGGTTAAGGTGAGCTCTAATTCTGAAAACCCTCCCACCTTAATTATTTTTGAGTTCCCATTTTTGAAAGTGTGTTTTCTTTCTTTGTTTCCTAAGATGGGCAAAGGTGACACCGCAACCCAGAAGTTCACAAGGAAATCCAAAATAAGCGAAGCCAAAGCAAACGAGGGACCTTCCAGTGCCCTTTCTCCTCTTGCAGACACACTCTCAAAGAACAAGGAGTCCTTTCAAAACAATGGGCAGCGTGGATTTAGGAAAGCGTCACTGAGCTCTGTTGAAACTCCTGGATTCAAGGTGGTACCTGTCAGGTCTCACTCTCTGCAGGAAGATGGACTAAACGACCGGCTTTTGGACCATAGGCTTTCTCAGACCTCTCTGTTCGCCGATTGCAATATGGAGATCTTTCCTCCTCCTTCAAGTGCCCAGACTGTAGTTCGTAAGCAGCACTCTTTGATGCCTTACTTACCGGAGAAAGCGGCTCAATATCCTCATTCAGAAATGACACAACTTTGCTCCGATGAAACTCTGGTTTTGTACTTTTGTAAAGTCTGGCAGGATGATTATGTTTCACTGTTTTTGTTTCTGGCCAATAAGAGCAGCAGTGTTCTAAGAGATGCGAGTCTGGAATTGGAGCGCACAGAGCATCTAAAGGTAATAAGGGGCTACTTAGGCAAAGCAATCCCTCGTAGTCCGAGGATGATGGTCCTCCAGGGTCAGTGTCCCGGCGGTGGGTCCGTAGGTGGCTGTGGAGCCCTATTCTTGATCTGCATCTTCTCCCGCAGTGAGAGCATCAGTTTCCAGGTGAAAGGCGGTCCTGGTCAGTGTTGACTTGACGTGCCTTTCTCTTGGCACATTTCTCTCTTTCGCCCTCCAATTGTGCCTCTTCAAATTCTACAGCACTGCTGGTCACAGCTGACCTCCAGCTAGAGTGCTTCCAATTTCTCAGTGTCTATGCCAGAGTTTTTAAGGTTGGCTTTGAGCCCATCTTTCAATCTCTTTTCCTGCCCACCAACATTCAATTTTCCGTTTTTGAGTTTGGAATAGAGTAACTGCTTTGGGAGACGGTGGTCGGGCATCTGGACAACATGGCCGGTCCAGCGGAGTTGATGGCAGAGGACCATCGCTTCAATGCTGGTGGTCTTTGCTTCTTCCAGCACGCTGACATTTGTCCGCCTGTCTTCCCAAGAGATTTGCAGGATTTTTCAGAGGCAGCGCTGATGGAATCATTCCAGGAGTTGCATGTGACGTCTGTAGACAGTCCACATCTCGCAGGCGTATAGCAGGGTTGGGAGGACAATAGCTTTATAAGCAAGCACCTTGGTATCCCTATGGATGTCCCGGTCCTCAAACACTCTCTGCTTCTTTCGGGAAAAAGCTGCACTCGCAGAGCTCAGGCAGTGTCGTATTTCAGTGTAAATGCTGACTTTTGTGGAGAGGTGGCTGCCAAGGGAGTGGAAAGGGTCAACATTTTCTAATGCTACACCATTAAGTTGTATTTCTGGCATTGGAGAGGGATTGGCTGGTGACTGCTGGAAGAGCACTTTGGTTTCTTTTTTTTTTTATGTTTAATGACAGGCCAAACTTCTCGTAAGCTTCTGTGAAGGTGTTTAGGGTTTAGTGGCTTGTAAGTCTTTTGAATGTGCACAGACGACGTTGTGATCAGCATACTGGAGCTCTATAACAGATGTTGTTGTAACCTTGGTTTTGGCTTGTCAATAAGGGATTGCAATCATGTTTATCAGGGGCTTTGCTTTCCCCCTTTAAATGGTAATAATAATAATAATAATAATAATAATAATAATAATAATAATAATAATAATCTTTATTTATACCCTGCCACAGTAGTTTCCCATTATTGACTTCAATTAAAGCAGGAGCTTGGCTTTCCTTGACATATTCTGCCAGGGCGTGTTTTTCTTCTTCAACTGCATGTTTGACTTGTAATTATTATTATTATTATTATTATTATTACTACTACTACTACTAGCCAGTCACAAGGCTGATTCGAGTATACGGTTGCAGCCTGTATTGGACGGGGTTACAGTCCCTCTGAAGACACAGGTTTGCAGCTTGGGAGTGATCCTGGACTCATTGCTGATCCTGAAACCCCAAGTTTTGGCAGGCCAGGAGAGCTTTTGCACAATTAAAGCTTGTGCATCAGTTGCACCCATACCTTAGGAAGTCTGACTTGTCTACGGTGGTCCACACTCTGGTTACATCGAGAATAGATTACTGCAACTCACTCTACATGGGGTTGCCTTTGAAGACTGTTCGGAAGCTTCAAATGGTCCAACAGGTGGTAGCCAGGTTTCTCACCAGAGTGGCATAAAGGGAGCACTCTACGCCCTTGCTACGCCAACTCTACTAGCTGCCAATCTGCTACTGAGCACAATTCAAAGTGCTGGCTTTAGCCTATAAAGCCCTAAATGGTTCTGGCCCAGCTTACCTGTCCAAACGTATATCTCTCTGTGTTCCACCTCGGAGGCTAAGATTGTCAGGGGAGGCCCTACTCTCGGTCCCACCTTCTTCACAAGTGCAACTGGTGAGAACAAGAGACAGGGTCTTGTCAGTGGTGGCCCCTCGTCTATGGAACTCCCTCCCCAGTGAAATTAGATCGACCCCTTCTCTCTTAAAAACTAAAAACATGGCTCTGGGATCAGATTTTTGGTCAATAATAAGAGCAAGGCCATAAAAGATTATAAATTAATCTAATGACGACCCGTACTGGCTCTGGAATACAACCTGGATTATGTGATTTTAATTGTTGTTTTAACGTTATGTTTTAATGGGTTGGTTTTAATGTTTTTGTTTATTCATTGATGTATATATACACGTGGCATTGAATTGTTGCCTTTGTAAGGCTGCCCTGAGTCGCCTGCGGGGTTGAGAAAGGCAGGTTAGAAGTATAGTAAATAAATAAATAAAATTTCTTCCCTTTTTATCATATAGATGGTTGAACATCTTGGCTGTCATTTTGCTACAATAGGAGCTGAAAGCATAGAAAGCTTCCAAACAAGTGTTGAGATGGAGGAACTTTGCTCATCGGTTGTCATTTTGGGTTCCGTCGTTTACCATCTAGAATCGGAAACACGCCTCAGGTTTTCTGTACCTTTAGTCCTGCTGGATTTTATCAGGTAATTCTCTTAAAAGAAGTTGTTTCATACATAGTTGGAACATAAAGCATCTGTTTCCTGTGTAAATCTCGCCTTTACACACATGCACAATATATTGTGTACCTAGCATACATGTAAACACTCCCCATGTACTTCTTTTATTATTATCATTTTTTCTGGCTGTTGAATTGGATCACACGTCGGACACTTCCCAAGTGTCTAGGACTGTGTGATGTATCGGCGAATAATGTGCGCAGATCCGAGTAAGGTGGCCTTTTGCAGCTGAGAGATGGTAATTTTGCCAGGGCCTATTGTTTTTAAGTGCAGGCCAAGGTCTTTAGGCACTGCACCTAGTGTGCCGATCACCACTGGGACCCCCTTGACTGGCTTGTGCCAGAGTTGTTTATTATTATTATTATATTATTATTATTATTATTATTATTATTATTATTATTATTATTGGAAATACAACAAGATGAGTCCACAGCAGACAAGATCACTCTGCTGGTTGTTGTATTGGATCACATGTCGGACACTTCCCAAGTGTCTAGGACACTGTGATGTATCAGCGAATAATGCATGCAGATCCAATTAGGGTGGCCTTTTGCAGCTGAGAGATGGTAATTTTCCCAGCGCCAGTTGTTTTTAAGTGCAGGCCAAGGTCTTTAGGCACTGCACCCAGTGTGCCGGTCACTGGGACCACCTTGAGTAGTTTGAAATGCTCATTCTCTGAAACCTTTTCAGGCTTGTGATCCCACCAGTTCTTTGTCGCAGGCAAATGTTATTTGTGGCACAAGTGCCAATGAATCATCTGCCTCTGCATAATAATAATAATAATAATAATAATTATTATTATTATTATTTATACCCCATTTTCTCTCTCAAAAGCAGCTTATAATATAACCTGTACAATACAATTTAAAACCTAACAATATACAAATGTTAAAATAGAATTAAATATTATTTGAAATGTGAAATGTTAGGAAGGGGAAGGCTTTTAGGTTTGTCTGTGTACGTATATTGTACGTTGTTGTTCTTTGTGTAAAGGGCATTGAATGTTTGCCTTTTATGTGTACTATAATCTGCTCTGAGTCCCTCCAGGGAGATAAATCAGAATATAAAGAAAGTGTATTATTATTATTATTATTATTATTATTATTATTATGGTTATTTAAATGCTCATGCTATTGGACTGGAAGAGGCAACTCAGGTTCCCCAAGCCCCTGTTTCTCATGATATATTTTCTGTGTTGTTGAAGGCTTTCATGGCTGGAATTACTGGATTGCTGTGAGTTTTCTGGGCTGCCTGGCCATGTTCCAGAAGCATTCCCTCCTGATGTTTCACCCACATCTGTGGGAGACATCCTCAGAATTTGAGGGGTCTGTTGGAAACTAAGTAAGTGAAGTTTATATATCTGGAATGTCCAGAGTGGGAGAAATAACAGAAAGGAGAAAACAGTAAAAATGAACAAAATCTGGCTACCAGTATTAAAACACTCTAAAATCAGGATAGTAAATAAAAAGCAAGACTCAAAAAGCAGGGGGATTCCAGACAAGAATCAATCAGGGCCAGCTAACACCTCCCATTATTATTATTATTATTATTATTATTATTATTATTATTGCTTCAAAGCCTGGCTGATTGCTGCCTGGCTTTGGGAGGTGTTAGCTGGCCCTCCAACAAAGGATTCCCCCAGGCAGCAACCAGTCAGATTGTGAAACTGCAAGGCCATTAAATGCTAATTAAGGTGGCACATTGCAACATCCACATGTGCCTCAAGCAAACAAGAATTCTTTCTCCCACCCTGGACATTCACAGATATACGAGAACCTCACTTGCCTAGTTTCCAATAGACCTCACAAATTCTGAGGATGCCTTCCATAGATGTGGATGAAACATCAGGAGAGAATGCTTCTGGAACATGGCCATAAAACACTGAAAATTCACAACAACCCTATATGCTTTCTGTTTCTGCATTTTATGTGCCTGATGTACTGGAAAGTTTCCCAATGCATTTCCCTAATTACGGTATATATTTATTTAATTTGACCTCATGTGTAAGTCAAGGGCAGATTTGGATGCTTATACCCTATATACTGTATCTTATTTTAAAGGACTCTTGTCCAGCTTGATCCTTTATGACTCTTGGATGTTGGCTTATTTTTAAGTGATGAGCAGAAAAATATTTGTTTAAATTTATTCTTTAAATTAATACCTCAACTGGGTTGTTGTAGGTTTTCTGGGCTATATGGCCATGTTCTAGAGGCATTTTCTCCTGACGTTTCGCCTGCATCTATGGCAAGCATCCTCAGAGGTAGGGAGGATACCTCTGAGGATGCTTGCCATAGATGCAGGCGAAACATCAGGAGAAAATGCCTTTAGAACATGGCCATATAGCCCAGAAAACCTACAACAACCCAGTGATTCCGGCCATGGAAGCCTTTGACAATACAATACCTCAACTGTTTGTTGTTTTTTTTCTTATATTCTTTGCCAACTTCCTATTCAGGCCAATGAAAATGACCACTGATGAATTTGGAAAGCTGTGGCTGACAGTTTCAAACGATGTGAAGCAAAATGTCAAGATGGCGCCCTCTCAGGGATCGTTGCCTGTTATTCTGAACACCTTGCAGCAAAAGCTGAAGCTACATATCGTTGATATCATAGGTAAGTGGCTTGAGGTTTCTTCCATTGCAATCCAGGAATTGTAATTGGTAACTATAGCTTATAATAATTGCTTAAGGTGAGTACCTAAATTTCCTAGTTGACAGATGCAACTGTCTTTCAGGATGCAAAGGTCGACAGCGAGCTACACAATGGTTGGGAGCTTACTCCAACCCGAAAGAGAAAGAGAAGGAAAAGAAAAAGGGGGAGGAAAGAAAGAGGTAGAGAAGAAGGAAGGGAGGGAAGGAAGGAGAGGAAGGAAGGAAAGAGGAGGAAGGAAGGAAGGAAAGAGAGAGAAGGAGGGAGGGAGAAAGAAGGAAGAGGAAAGGAAGAAAAGGAAAAAGGAAGGAAGAAGAGGAGAGAAGGAGAAGGAGAGAAAGAGGGAGGGAAGGAAAGAAAAGAAGAAGCAAAAAAAGGAAGGAAGGAAAAAGGTAAAAGAGAAGGAAGAAAGGAGAGAAAGAGAAGGAAAAGAAAAAGGGGAAGGAAATAAAGAGGTAGAGAAGGAAGGAAGAAGAGGAAGAGAGGAAAGGAAAGAAAGGAAGGAGAAGGGAAGAAAGGAAAAGAGGAAGGAGGGGGAAAGAAGGAAGGAAATAAGAAGAAAGAATGGAAAAAAGGAAGGAAGGAAGGAAGAAGGAAAGAGATAGAAAGGAAAAAAGAGAAAGAGAAGAAAAGAAAAAGGGGAAGGAAAGAAAGAGAAGGAGAAGGAAGGAATGAACGAAGGAAAAAAGGAAAGGAAGGAAAGAGGGAGGAAGAAGGGAAGAGGAAGAGAAAGAGGGAAGGAAAGAAAGGAAGGAAGGAAGCAAAAAGCGAAGAAGAAGGAGGAAGAGAAGGAAAAAGAGAGAAGGAAAAGAAAAGGGAAGGAAGGAAAGAGGAGAGAGGAAGGAAGGAGAGAAGGAAAGGAAGGAAAGAGGGAACGAAGGAAGAAGGGAAAGAAAGAGAGAAAGAGGGAGGGTGGGCAGGAAAGAAGGAAAGAGAGAAGGAAGGATGGGAGCAAAAAAAGGAAGGAAGGGAAGAGGGAGGGAAGGAAAGAAAGAAGGAAAGACGGAAGGATGGAAGCAAAAAGCAAAGGAAGGAAGGGAAGAGGTAGAGAAGGAAGAAAGGAGAGAAAGGGAGGAATAGAAAAAGGGGGGAAGGACAGAGGCAGAGAAGGAAGGAAGAAGAGCAGGAAAGAGGAAGGAAGGAGGGAGTAAAGGAAGGAGGAAAAGAAAGAGGGAGAGTAGGTTGGCCACAGCAACGCGTGACGGGTACAGCTAGTAATAAAATAATAATAATAATAATAATAATAATAATAATAATAATAATAATACTTTGTGGGAATATGATTTTTTTTCTCCTGCTTTAGGTAATGAGGGAATAGCGTCGTGTCAGCTGCTTCCATCAGTGCCATGTTTGCTCCATTGCCGTATCCACGCCGGCATGTTGGCACTATGGTTCCGGTCCCCTTGCTCGGCTCTTCCGGACTGTTTGCTTTATCAGTGTCAAAAGGCGATGGAAGAATCCTGAGTGTGTTGCAGTGCCTCCTTTTTGGAAAATCTCTGAATGCCAAGGAAGATTTATGCGGTTTTTGTACAGGGTTTGATCGAAGCTTCTCCGGAGCAGAGTTACACAAGAATAAACTCTATGGACACGAGGATTTAAGGTGGTTCTCCTGCCCTTTGCTCCAGAAAGAGCTCAGGATCAGTCAGTCCCTGACGAGGGACTAAAAGTATGGGTCACGTCTTATGCAACATGAGTGTTTCCTATTTATTCCCATTCATAGGAACAGCACCACTTGAATTCCTTCACGTCCTTTCAGGAATATTCTCAGTTAAGAACTTTCCTTGAAACAGCATCGCCATAGACGAGAGTTAGAGGAATGCAAGGTGCTAACTGTTGATGCAACTGACATTCAGTTATAGGATATCTATAGGATTGTCCCATGCCTGCTGGCTATGGTTTGGTTGTACGAGGGTTGAATGAAAAGTAATGCCTCCACCTTCGTAACTCCTCAACAGATGGCAGTACTGGTATGCAGCAGGTACTGGCTTGTTCAGTAGACTCTCCTCTACAGTTCCATTTTGGCGGGAAGCCTTAGCAGAAAAAGTAATGCCTCCAATATCGTAACTCCTCAACAGATGGCAGTACTGGTACGCGGCTGGTACTGGCTTGTTCAGTAGACTCTCCTCTACAGTTCCATTTTGGCGGGAAGCCTTAGCAGAAAAAGTAATGCCTCCAATATCGTAACTCCTCAACAGATGGCAGTACTGGTATGCGGCTGGTACTGGCTTGTTCAGTAGACTCTCCTCTACAGTTCCATTTTGGCAGGAAACCTTAGCAAAAAAAGTAATGCCTCCACCTTCGTAACTTCTCAACAGATGGCAGTACTGGTATGTTCAGTAGACTCTCCTCTACAGTTCCATTTTGGCGGGAAGCCTTAGTAGAAAAAGTAATGCCTCCAATATTGTAACTCCTCAATAGATGGCAGTACTGGTATGCGGCAGGTACTGGCTTGTTCAGTAGACTCTCCTCTACAGTTCCATTTTGGCGGAAAGCCTTAGCATTGAACGATTGTGTTGTTAAAGTGCGACGTATGGAACCCTGCGCAGGTGGTCGGTCAATGCGACTTAAGCAATGTGCAGTCATTGAATTCTTGACAGCAGAAGGTGTCACCTCAACATCTTTAAACTTACTCGCCCAGTGACGCACAGTACTCACATCAACACAGCCACCATAAACAGCTTGCATTCTCTGATGAATCTCCTTCAGGGTGACACCTTCTACTATCAAAAATTCAATGACTGCACGTTGCTTAAGTCGCATAGACAGTCTGCACCTGGTTCCATACTTCGTACTTTAACAACACAACCGTTCAATGCTAAGGCTTCCCACCAAAATGGAACTGTAGAAGAGAGTCTACTGAACAAGCCAGTAGCTGCCATATGGCAGTACCACCATTTGTTGAGTAATGAAGGTGGAGGCATTACTTTTCATTCAACCCTCATAGGTTACTGGCATGAACAATCCGTGGGAGCACCTCAAGAACATAGCTGCTTGCACCTCATGAAAGGAATTTCCTAGTTTTTGTGACAAGATGTTTACTCATCATGTGAGTATTAATATTAATAATAATATTACATAATATTCATAAATATTATTTGTGAATGCAAATTGAGGCTGCCAGCAAGTTATTGGTTACCAACTTCGTTGCCTATCAGAAGTTGGCTTCTATAATGCAATATCTCAATCACAGAAGCTAAGCGTGTTGGGTTGCTGTGAGTTTTCCGTATGGCCATGTTCCAGAAGCATTCTCTCCTGACGTTTCACCCACATCTATGGCAGGCATCCTCAAATCCCTCACAGCCTCTGAGGATGCCTGTCATAGATGTGGGCGAAATGTCAGGAGAGAATGCTTCTGGAACATTGCCATAGACGAGAGTTAGAGGAATGCAAGGTGCTAACTGTTGATGCAATTGACACTCAGTTATAGGATATCTATAGGATTGTCCCATGCCTGCTGGGTATGGTTCGATTGTAGGATACTGGCATGAACAATCCATGGAAGCATCTCAAGAACGTAGGTGGTTGCACCTCATGAAAGGAATTGACTAGTTTTTTGTGACAGGATGTTTTACTCATCACTTGAGTATTAATATGATTCATAATAATATTAAATAATATTATTCATAAATATTATTTGTGAATGCAAATTGAGGCTGCCAGCAAGTTATTGGGTGCCAACTTCGTTGCCTATCAGAAGTTGGCTTCTAAAATGCAATATCTTAATCACAGAGCTAAGCGTGTTGGGTTGCTGTGAGTTTTCCAGGCTGTATGACCATGTTCCAGAAGCATTCTCTCCTGACGTTTCACCCACATCTATGGCAGGCATCCTCATATCCTTCACAGCCTCTGAGGATGCCTGTCATAGATGTGGGTGAAACACCAGGAGAGAATGCTTCTGGAACATGGCCATACAGCCTGGAAAACTCACGGCAACCCAGTGATTCAGGCCGTGAAAGCCTCCGACAACACACTAAGCGTGTTGGTTTGTGGCATGTAAACACGCAAGGCCTTTAATCTAGGAAGCTTCTCTTGCTGTGCCTCACAGTCATTTATCCATAGCTGGGCTTTTATGGTATACCAGCCATTGATCTTGATGATATAATTGCATAAAGATGTGCTTGCGCAGCTTGTGCCGCCTCGCCACGGATCCTTTGGTTTTCTCTTCTTCGAACAGGCTGCTTTTTGTGCGACCCTTTTGCTTTTCTATCCCTTGTGTTTCATCTCATGTTTCTGTTGCCATTGTTTTCCGTGGATCGCTCCAGATGAGGAGAGCTCTTGTGAGCCTAGACGCATTGCTGGAGCTCACTAGTCAATATGCAAAACACAAAGTAATTCATTTTAAAAAGAAAAATACTGTCATTTGGGAAAATGAAGCAGCTTCAGCCACGGCTTCTCTAGGTGCCTTGGTTTTTAGGCCTGTTTCTGAAGTTAATTGGGAGTTTTGTTGTCAAAGGCTTTCATGTCTGGAATGGCTGGGTTGCTATGGAATTTCCGGGCTGTATGGCTATGTTCCAGAATCATTCTCTCCTGATGTTTCACCCACACTTTTGGCAGACATCCTCAGAGGTTGTGAGGTTTGTTGGAAACTAGGCAAGTGAGGTTCACATATATCTGTGGAATGTCCAGGGTGGGAGAAAGAATTCTTGTCTGCTTGAGGCACATGTGAATGTTGCAATGTGCCACCTTAATTAGCATTTAATGGCCTTGCAGTTTCACAGTCTGGCTGGTTGCTGCCTGGGGGAATCCTTTGTTGGGAGGGCCAGCTAACACCTCCCAACAAAGGATTCCTCCAGGCAGCAATCAGCCAGGCTTTGAAGCAATAATAATAACAATAATAGGGAAAGCGGCTTTTCTCACATAAATCTATTCATTCAAAAATATTTTTAAATCACAAGTGTTTACTTCTATCTACCTACCTACCTACCTACCTACCTACCTACCTATCTATCTATCTATCTATCTATCTATCTATCTAATGATAATAATAATAATAGCTCATCTTTCGTGCCCCTACTTCTTCTTTTATTGTCTTTTTGGGAAGTGTCTGACTTGGGAAGTGTCCGACATGTGATCCAATTCAACAGCCAGCAGGGTGTCTGCTGTGGACTCATCTTGTTATGTTTCAAATAATAATAATAATAATAATAATAATAATAATAATAATAATTTATTATTATTATTATTAATAATAAGGATTTAAAGATCAAACTGCAAAGATTCTGGCACAAGCCAGTCAAGGTGGTCCCAGTGGTGATCGGCATACTGGGTGCAGTGCCTAAAGACCTTGGCCTGCACTTAAACACAATCGGCACTGACAAAATTACCATCTGCCAGCAGCACATCGTCCTAGACACTTGGGAAGAGTCAGATGTGTGATCCAATACAACAGCCAGCCGAGTGTCTGCTGTGGACTCATCTTGTGTTTCAAAGAAAAATAATAATAATAATAATAATAATAATAATAATAATAATTTAAAGATCAAATTGCAAAGACTTTGGCACAAGCCATTATAGGTGGTCCCAGTGGTGATGGGCACACTGGGTGCAGTGCCGAAAGACCTTGGCCTGCACTTAAACACAATCAGCACTGACAAAGTTATCATCGGTCAGCTGCAAAGGCCACCTTACTGATATCTGCACGCATTATTCGCCGGTACATCACACAGTTCTAGACACTTGGGAAGTGTCCAACCTGTGATCCAATACAACAGCCAGCAGAGTGTCTGCTGTGGACTCACCTTGTGTTTCAAATAATAATAATAATAATAATAATAATAATAATAATAATAATAATAAATCACACAGTCCTAGACACTTGGGAAGTGTCTGACGTGTGATCCAATACAACAGCCAGCAGAGTGTCTGCTGTGGACTCATCTTGTTGTGTTTCTAATAATAATAATAATAATAATAATAATAATAATAATAATACTGTATTTATACCCCGCCACCCTCTCCACAAAGGGGGCTTGGGACGGCTAACATGAGGTCAAGCCCAAAGGTACAATACAACAAAATAAAATACAGACTGCAGACAACAAAAATTACATCACAATAAAATACATACATTAGCAAAATAAATAAAGCCAATTAACACAATATAAAATTGAACAGAATGGGCAGGCCCAATGTACGAAGTAAAATGATAAAACTCTGGATGAGGTAGGAATAGAAAATATGTAATTGAGGGGAGCCCAAAAAGGATAAACAGTGGGGTCGGCTTTCAGTTTAGGACGGGGGAAAGTGCATCATAGGGACAACACTATAGATGGAGCAGACAGAAATGGGATAAAGGGTCACTCTCCAAAGGCACATCGGAGCAGCCAAGTTTTCAGGTTTTTCTTGAAGGCTGCTAAGGTGGGGGCTTGCCTAATCTCACCAGGTAGTGAGTTCCAAAGGCCATTACATGATAATCAAGGTGTTCAATGACAACATTCACACGACTCCAGCAGACAAGAGTTCTTTCTCTCACCCTGGACATTCCACAGATATATAAACTCAATTTTCCTAGTTTCCAACAGACCTTACAACCTCTGAGGATGCTTGCCATAGATGTGGGTGAAACGTCAGGAGAGAATGCTTCCGCAACATAGCCATACAGCCTGGAAAACTCACAGCAATCCAGTGATTCTGGTCACGAAAGCCTTCGACAACACTTGTCTGATAGTTCTTCTGTCCTTTGGGAATGAATTATATGGAGGAACATAGGAATATGGGGGGATGCTATGTAAGAGCTGAACAACTGTGTGTATTTTCAAATATTTAATTGAAAACAATGGTAACACTCCCAACTCTTTGGTATTTGTTTCCGCAATGCAAAATGTATAGGAGAGAGTTTCACTGAAATTGCGAGTGACACTCCACATTTACTTTCTGATTTATAAAGTCTTAGAATCTGGCTGCGAACAGTATTGTTTTTTAATGTATATGTGTATTTATTTAACATATGTGTTTGTCGACATCATTAACTACTTGTGCATTAAAAAAAGTACTTCTCAAACCAAATTCTCTCACACCAGAAGCGACTTACAGTATGTTCTCAAGTCACTTTGGACACAATGTGTGCCGGCTGAACTGCTGACCTGAAAGTTGGGTTGCTGACCTGAAGGTTTATGGTTTGAATCTGTGAGATGGGGTGAGCTCCCGTCTGTCAGCTCTAGCTTTTGGGAACATGAGAGAAGCCTCCCAGCTAACACATCTGTTGCCCAGGTGTCCCCTGGGCAACGTGCCTGTAGACGGTAAATTCTCTCACACCAGAAGCGACTTATAGTATGTTCTCAAGTCACTTTTGACACAATGTGTGCCAGCTGAACTGCTGACCTGAAGGTTGGGTTGCTGACCTGAAGGTTTTTGGTTCGAATCCACAAGATGGGGTGAGCTCCCGTCTGTCAGCTTGAGCTTGCGGGGACATGAGAGAAGTCTCCCAGCTAATACATCCAAATGTCCCCTGGGGAATGTCTTTGTAGATGGCTGATTCTCTCACACCGGAAATGACTTGCAGTATGTTCTCAAGACACTTTTTACACAATGAAAAAAATACAGGCTTTATGGCCATCTGTTGGGAGTGATTTGATTGTGCTTTTCCTGTATGACAGGAAGTTGGATTCAATGGCCTATGATTCCAAGGCGTGCATTACCATGACTATAAAGGCATAGTGATTCTTTTATTGGAATTTAAAGCAGTTCAGGGATTGCTTACTATCAAAGCAACAGTATCCAAGATTCTGGACCGGGAAGATACATACGAGAGTTGAATGAAAAGTAATGCCTTCACCTTCGTAACTCCTCAACAGATGGCCATATTGCTATGCGGCAGGTACTGGCTTGTTCAGTAGACTGTCCTCTACAGTTCCATTTTGGCAGGAAGCCTTAGCATTGAACGGTTGTGTTGTTAAAGTGCGAAGTATGGAACCCTGCACAGATGTCTGGTAAATGCGACTTAAGCAATGTGCAGTCATTGAATTCTTGACAGCAGAAAGTATTACCCTAAAGAGATTCGTCAGAGAATGCAAGTTGTTTATGGTGATTGTGTTGATGTGAGTACTGTGCATCGTTGGGCAAGAAAGTTTAAAGATGAGGTGGGAACAACTGACTTTTGTGACAAAAAAAAAGAGTTGAACATCCTGTGACAGCAACTACTGAGTTTCACAAGCAAAACGTTGACAGATTGATTCAGGATGATAGCTGTATCACTTAGAGAAATTTCAAGCATAATCGGCATTTCATAAGAACGCGTGGGTCACATTATTGCTTTGCTTAGCTATCAGAAGATTTGTGCACGATGGGTACCCAGGATGCTGATGCCTGAAATGAAAGCGCACAGAGTTGAAACTTCAGAGACTGGATCTCACCACCGTACGGTATCATCCATACACTCCAGATTTGGCACCACCTGATTTCCATCTATTCCCGATAATGAAAAAAGATGTGCAGGGACATCATGATGCTTCTGATGAAGATGTTGAGAGAACTGTGAGATAGTTGCGGAAACAGAGTGTCGACTTCTTCTGCAACAGCTTCAGAAAACTTGTTCATCGCTGGCAGAAATACAGATTGAGGCAACATAACTTCCTTTTTTCAAAACTTAATAAAACACATTGTATGAATCAGAAAATTTTATTTTTTTTATAATGTAGGCGCATACCTAAAGTTTTGTTTTATGTAGCTTTGAAGATCAAATTAAGTAGGTGATGTCCCCCATTCTCCATACACTGAGTAAACCGATTTCTGGTGTTTGTCATGACTCTTGCCAGCATCGCAGGCGTTATGTTGGCAATTTCTTCCTGGATGTTGGTCTTCAAAGCTTGTAGGGTCCTTGGACGGTTCACATAAACACGGGATTTCAAAAAACCCCATAGAAAAATATCACAAGGGGCCAGGCCCGTAGCCAGGATTTTGATTCAGGAGGGGCTGAGTTTGATGGGGATATATACCTCCATGCATATGGGATATATTGAGCATGGTGATCAGATCATGATATGAATAAACATAACAGTTTAAATAATGTACCAGTAAGGCCTTCTCGCAGACCACCATGAGAATTTTGGGGGGCCAAATCTGGAGAGCAGGCTGGCCACTCCAGATCCGCTCGAAAAGTAGGCCTCAACGGCAAAAGCACGCTCCTTACTGTTCCAACGCATTATGGCGACTGAACTGTGTCAGGACAATACTCCCGCCTCTCGAACGAGACCACTAGCACTCCACTACGTCTTCAACCGACTGAATGGCACACGTTTTTAAAAAGGAAGTTATGCTGCCTCACCCTGTATGTCCAATTGTCTGGTGATTATGTGGAAAAGTGAATAGTGGTAGTTAAAGAGCACATTCTAAGGATTATTTCTGTGTTTGATTTATTAAAATATTCTCATCCAAACCCAAGTAACGAAGGTCGAGGCATTACTTTTCATTCAACCCTCCTTTTTTAGAAGGATGCAAACGGGGACAGTAGAGATGATGAAATTCTGGAAGACTGCGTTGCTTGATCACAAGTCATTTAATGGATCCTTTATGATAATACAACACACACGCTTTGTGTCTGACTCAGACGCGACTGATATTTTGGAACGGGTTGTTGAACATTGTGAACGCACTGATATAAAAGTAAACACAGAATATACATCAGATACCAGCATGAGGGATGCATATGAGTTCCCCTCCCACTCCGTAAGGCTCTCAAGTCCTATATAAATATCAAGAGAAAGATATTTTACTAAAAGTAGCACAAGTTCAAACACCAAGAAGAGAAAGATGTTAACATCTTCCTTTCCCTTCCTGTATTCTTCCAAATTCCCCAGTAGCCCCTTTTGTCCTATCCCACCCAACTTCTATGTGAATGGACTTACTGAAAGCAATGGTGTAAGGTCTTGGTAGGATGGAGAATGGCCAGTAATAATAACACAACTGCAATTTAGCAGCACATGAATATGAACATAAGCAGGCACCCTCTCCCTCCTTCAGAGTAGTTACAAACAAAAGATTCCATTTATTTCTAACTATTTTGTGCCATGACTTCTGTCAAGGACATGCTTTTGTTGATGTAAAGCAGTGTTTCTCAACCTTTTAATGCCTCAACCCCTGAATACACTTCCTCATGTGGTGGTGACCCCCAACCATAACATTATTTTTGTTACAACTTCATAACTGTAATTTTGCTACTGTTGTGAATAGTAAGGTAAATATCTCATATGCTGGATATATTTTCATTCACTGGACCAAATTTGGCACAAATACCCGATACGACCAAATTTGAATATTGGTGGGGTTGGAAGGGATTCATTTTGTCATTTGGGAGCTGTAGTTTCTGGGATTTATAGTTAATTACAAAGGACACTTTCCCCCCACCTGGAAGGGACGCAAGACTCTCTCCAGCCTTGCACACTCTCCAAATTTGGCACAAATACCCAAAATGCCCAAATTTAAATACTGATGGAGTTGGGGGGATTGATTTTGTCATTTGGGAGTTGTAGTTGGTGGGATTTATAGTTAATCTACAAAGGGCGCTTTCCCCCCACCTTGAAGGGAGGAAGGAAAGAGAGAAGGAAGGGAGGATGAAAGAGTGTAAAGGGATGGAAGGAGGGAGAAAGAGAAAGGGGAGGGAGGAAAGAGAGAAGGAAGAAAAGACAAAAGGGAAGGAAGGAAAAGAGGGAGAGGGGAGGAAAGGAGGAAGGAAGGACGAAAGTAAGTGGGAAGGAGGGAGGGAGAAAGAGAGAGGGAAGGGAGGGAGGGAGGGAAGGAGAAAGGAAAGAGGAAGGAAGGGTGAAAGAGGGAAGGAAAGAAAGGGAAGGAAGGAAGGAAGGAAGGAAGGAAGGAAGGAAGGAAGGAAGGAAGGGGAAGTAAGGAAGGAAAGGGAAGGAAGGGAAGGGAAGGGGAAGGGAGGATGAAAGAGTGTAAGGAAGAATGGAAGGAGAGAGAAAAGAAAAGGGGGGAGGAAAGAGAGAAGGAAGGAAAGGAAGGAAGGAAAGACAAAAGGGAAGGAATGAAGAGGGAGAGGGGAGGAAAGGAGGAAAGAAGGACGAAAGTGAGTGAGAAGGAGGGAGGGAGAAAGAGGGAGGGAAGGAAGGGAGAGAGGGAAGAAGAAAGGAAAGAGGAAGGAAGGGTGAAAGAGGGAAGGAAAGAAAGGGAAGGAAGAAAGGGATGGGAAGGGGAAGGGGAAGGGAGAATGAAAGAGTGTAAGGAAGAATGGAAGGAGAGAGAATAGGAAAGGGGGAGGAAAGATAGAAGGAAGGAAAGGAAGGAAGGAAAGACAAAAGGGAAGGAATAAAGGAAAAGAGGGAGAGGGGAGGAAAGGAGGAAGGAAGGAAGGAAGGAAGGATGAATGAGAGGGAACAAGGGAGGGAGAAAGGGAGGGAAGGAGAAAGGAAAGAGGAAGGAAGGATGAAAGGCTGGAGGGAATGGAAAGGGAGAAAAGAGAAAGGGAGGAAAGAGAAGGAAGGTAAGCAAAGAAGGAAAAAGGGAGGGAAGAGGGAAGAAAGGAAAGACGAAAGGGTGGAAGGGAAGGAGAAAGAGGGAGGGAAGGCGTAAAGAAAGAGAGAAGGAATGAATGATAGGATGGTGAGAGAGAGGAGGGTCTGAGAAAAAAGCCCAAGGGGCCCGCATCCGGTGTTATTTATGTTTGAAAATGGAGGTTTTTATGCCCTCCCCGCCTCCAAGACATTAATCATAACCATCTTATGGCTTCATTCTTCTGCAGAATGAACGGAGTAAGTCTTTTGGCTTGACGTAGATCTTTTACTCCTAACTACATGGCACTGATGAGATCATGGGTATGTAATGTCCTTTGCCCTTCACAAACTATATCCTTAAATATCTTGTTTCTTTGTTGACTCGATTGTGGATCATTTCTGCATTCTACTAATAGCAAGTGATTTGGAATCAAGAGTTTCTGTTTTGGGGTTGTATAAAGGAGCCCACTCTCATGGGTTTGTTTGCGTTGACTTTCCGTTGTCAGCTCTCACTCAAGTCTTTTGTTGCTAAAGGCCAGTTTCAAAGGACTTTCTCATCAAGGAGTTTGTTGATCCCGTCGCAGATTTTTTTGAGGTGCGGCCGACATTCGGCATCAAGGCTATAGAGGGCGGTGAGGAACTCCACGTTTGAAAAATGGTCGAAGACGTGGTTGATCCGCGCGTGAGACCTGGCCGTCAGGTGCCGCTCTACAAGTTCGTGCACAAGGTCTTTGCATTCCTTCAGGATTTCGGAAAGAACGTTTTTGTCGAAGGTGTACTCCACTTCGTAGAAACTGACAATCGTCATGGCGGCTTGGTTCAGCTTCTTGCGGAACTTCTCCACGATCTCCAGCTCTTCGGCGTTGAACTGGTTGTTTCGGTAGAGGATCCCAATCTTGACGGCGACTTTGATCAAGTCCTTCATGATCTTGTGCGCTTCCTTCTTGTTTTTCATGTGCTCTATCGTCACTTTGTACAACTCGTCAAAGATTTCGCTGCTGGTGTCGTCGATCAGCATGTTGGCCACTGTCCGGGTGGCCATTTTACTCAAGATCTTCTTTTGGGCTTGAAGCGCAAGGCTCTTGGAGCTGAAATTTTCAGGACCTGAAACGAGAAGCAGGAATGGAAGTGACGAAGAATGGAGAGAAATGGGTGGGAGAAGAAAAAACAGAAGTAAATTACTTGTAGTGAGTATTTTCACAACTCAAATTATGACTTATTGCCTACAATTCTGTTAATGTGACATGGACAACATGATACATTCTCATCCTCCTCATTTTTGAAATGCAAAGTAACCTCTGCTACAAGTTGGGCTAATGTTGTCCCTCCAGATATTGGATTGCATCTCCAGCATCCCGCATCCTTAACTATATGGATGGAAAGTGCATTGGAAGGTCCTTAAATTCCCCATCCCACTTACACCTGTTGATAAACTCTACAAGCTAGCTGGCATTGCCCCAACTAATGCTTGCATCAGAAAGTTGCTGCCAACTGCAAGAGAAATAAGGTTGAACACTGTGAAAGCCACCCAATGTATGGCTCTCAGCCTCCTCCCAGTAGACTTAAATCAGTACTCTCAACTTTCCTAATGCTGCAACCTCTTAATACAGTTCCTCATGTTGTGGTGACCCCCAACCATAGCATTATTTTCACACACACACAGATATAGTATCATAGATTTGAAAGGGACCCCTAAAGAAGGACAATTCTATATTGCATGTTCCAGAGTAGACAAACCAGACAATCTCCACATCAACACTGACAAAGAAACAACGAGAAATACAGGGTTAGTCAAAATGAATAGGCCAATAATGAATAATGAATAATGAATATTGGCCTATTCATTTTGACTAACCCTGTACTGTTTATCCACAAGCAGAAAAACATTACCTATATTAGAAACCAACACTTTCTCATTACTTTATTTTCCAGATCACCAGACTGGGCCACGGCAACGCCTGGCAGGGGACAGCTAGTATCTATGTAAATAAAAATGTAATGTTTGTTTGTGGGATTAACATAAGTCAAAAACCACTGGACCAATTGTCACCAAATCTGGACACAATACACCTACTACCTGAAGGAGTGGCCATCACAATACACCTACTAACATAACACAATAGCATATCCACACTCTCTTCTGGACTACAGCTCCCATCATCCCCTAAACCAGGCCCTTTAGGAGAGGAGGATGATCCAAATGCACTACTTCCAAGATGCAAGCTTTCTTCTCCTTGGATTTCTTCAAGAGCATCCCAATCCCTCCATATTTCCAGTTTCCTATTCCTGGACTGCAACTCCCAGCAATCCTCCAGTTAGATAAGAGTAGATGGAGATAGATAGGTAGGTAGAGAGATCTATCAATCAGGAAGACTGCTGGGAGTTGTAGTCCAAGAATAGGTAGAGAAGGAAGAAAGGGGAGAAAGAGGAAGGGAAAGACAAGGGGGGGGGGGAGAGGAAGAGAAGGAAGGATGGAGAGAAGGAAAGAAACAAAGGGAAAGAAAGGGAGCGAAGGAACGAGAGAAAGAAAGAAAGAAAGAGAAAGAAGGAAGGAAGGAAGGAAGGAAGGAAGGAAGGAAGGAAGGAAGGAAGGAAGGAAAGAAAGAGTAAGGTTGGTCATAGCAATGCGTGGCGTGTACAGCTAGTTAACAATAAAAACACTTTATGTAGGTGGTGAGAGCTGGCTATGACTGGACCAAACTGGAGGCTGCTATTATTGTTTGCTATGTGCAAGCTTTGTAGAATTCCTAGACCAAACGCTGGGCGTCAGTGTTGCTTTACACTTCAATGGCAAGTAAACACATGGGCCATCCTTTAAAAAACTAAAAGCCACAGCCACAGGATATTCGGCTTCTCTGACTCGGTGTCTTCCATCTGTCTTAGGCTACAGCTCCTCTGGTTTTGTGGGATGGAGCTGATGGAACTGTAGCTTTCAAGAGAATACCAGGGATGGCGAAAGAGTGGTTTGTCAGCCTCGTGGGACTCCTGGGTTCCCAAATTGTGACAGAGCTCCTCAACTCACATTAAAGAAAAATCCTGGATTTTTTAGATAGATTAAAAACCATGTTAAATGCCTAAAACCACCTCAATGAGCAAAATCAAGCCAAGAAGTGATGTGACACAAGGCCAAAAAATAAAAAATAAAAAATAGAGAGATGACTGTATTTCAAAACATAGCGAGGACATTGGTGTCCAAACTAAAGTCTTTCCCAGCCCAAATTGAAGATGTCAGGGACTCAATAAGCCCTCTTCTCTTTGCAAAATAGAATGGCCCACCATTGAGCCGGTTTGCTGTCTCCTTAAGATGCATCTGAGATTATGACATTGGGCAACTTCACTTTACATAGCGTAAATCCCAATATCTGGTGGGACACATTAGTTGTAGTAGGCAACATCGGCAACCCACCCAAGATACCCGAGTGCAACAAACCAATGTTCATATTACATCCATTTATATGATGTGCAGAGCCCTCTGGTAGCGCAGCGGGTTAAACCGCTGAGCTGCTGAACTTGCTGACCAAAAGGTTGGTGGTTCAAATCTGGGGAGTGGGGTGAGCTCCTGCTGTTAGCCCCAGCTTCTGCCAACCTAGCAGTTCAAAAACATGCAAATGTGAGTAGATCAATAGGTACCTTTTCTGCAGGAAGCGCTCCATGCAGTCATGCCGGCCACATGACCTTGAAGGAGTCTACGGACAAGGCATTAGACTCAAGAATATATATAAGCGAGCCCCCGGTGGCGCAGTGGGTTAAACTGCTGAGGTGCTGAACTTGCTGACCAAAAAGTCAGCAGTTCGAATCCGGGGAGTGAAGTGAGCACCTGCTGTTAGCCCCAGCTTCTGCCAACCTAGCAGTTCGAAAACATGCGAATGTGAGTAGATCAATAGGTACCTTTTCTGCAGGAAGCGCTCCATGCAGTCATGCCAGCTACAAGACCTTGGAGGAGTCTACGGACAAGGCATTAGACTCAAGTATATATATAAGCGAGCCCCCAGGGGCGCAATGGCTGAGCTGCTGAACTTGCTGACCAAAAAGCAATTCGAATCTGGGGAGTGAAGTGAGCTCTTGCTGTTAGCCCCAGCTTCTGCCAACCTAGCAGTTCGAAAACATGCAAATGTAAGTAGATCAATAGGTACCGCTTCTGCAGGAAGGTAATGGCGCTCCATGCAGTCATGCTGGCCACATGACCTTGGAGGAGTCTACAAACAATGTATTAGACTCAAGTATGTGTGTGTATATCTATATCTATATCTATATCTATATCTATATCTATATCTATATCTAATTGACCCCTTCAGTGGCACAACAATTTAAACTGCTGAGCTGCTGAACTTGCTGACTAAAAAGTCAGCAGTTCAAATTCGGGGAGTAGGGTGAGCTCCTGCTGCCAGGCCCAGCTTCTGCCAAACTAGCAGTTTGAAAACATGCAAATTTAAGTAGGTCAATAAGTACTGCTTCTACGGGAAGGTAATGGCACTCCATTCAGTCATGCCAGCCACATGACCTTGGAGGAGTCTACGGACAATGCATTAGACTCAAGTGTATGTGTGTGTGTGTAATATATATATATACGAGACACATACACACACCCCCGGTGGCGCAGCAGTTTAAACTGCTGAGCTGCTGAACTTGCTGACCAAAAAGACAGCAGTTCAAATCCAGGGAGCGGGGTGAGCTCCCACTGTCGGCCGCAGCTCCTGCCAACCTAGCAGTTCGAAAACATGCAAATGTAAGTAGATCAATAAGTACTGCTTCTGCAGGAAGGTAATGGCATAATTGACCCCTCCAGTGGCACAGCAGTTTAAACTGCTGAACTGCTGAACTTGCTGACCAAAAAGTCAGCAGTTCAAATCCGGGGAGTGGGGTGAGCTCCCACTGTCAGCGCAGCTTCTGCCAACCTAGCAGTTTGAAAACATGCAAATGTAAGTAGATCAGTAAGTACTGCTTCTGCGGGAAGGTAACAACGCTCCATGCAGTCATGACCTTGGAGGCGTCTCCGGACAAGGCATTAGACTAAAGTAAGTGTATATATGCGAGCCCTGGTGGCACAGTGAGTTAAACTGATGAGCTGCTGAACCTGCTGACTGAAAGGTCAGCAGTTCGAATCTGAGGAGTGGGTGAGCTCCTGCTGTTCTGCCAACCTAACCATTCGAAAACATGCAAATGTGAGTAGATCAATAGGTACCGCTTCTGCGGGAAGGTAACATCACTCTATGCAGTCATGCCAGCCACATGACCTCGGAGGCGTCTATGGGCAACGATGGCTCTCCGGCTTAGAAATTAAGATGAGCACCAACCCCCAGATTGGACACAATTAGACTTAATGTTGAGCCCTTGGTGGCACAGTGGGTTAAACCGCTGAGCTGCTGAGCTTGTTGACCAAAAGGTTGCAGGTTCGAATCCAGGGAGTAGCGTGAGCTTCCGCTGTCAGCCCCAGCTTCTGCCAACCAAGCAGTTCAAAAACATGCAAATGTGAGTAGATCAATAGGTACCGCTCTGGCAGGAAGGTAAGTGTGCTCCATGCAGTCATGCCGGTCACATGACCTTGGAGGTGTCTACGGACAACACTGGCTCTTAGGTTTGGAAATGGAGATGAGCAGCACACCCCAGAGTCGGACACAACTGGTCTTAATGTCAGGGGAAAACCTTGACCTTTACCTTAGACCAGTGGTTCTCAAACTTTCTGATGCCGCGACCCCTTAATACAGTTCTATATGTTGTGCTGACCCCTAACCATGAAATTATTTTCGTTGCTACTTCATAACTGCAATTTTGTTACTGTTATGAATCATCATGTAAATAACTGATATGTAAGATGTATTTTAATTCAGTGGATCAAATTTGGCACAAATACCTGATACGCCCACATTTGAATACTGGTGGAGTGCGAAGACTGATTTTGTCATTTGGAAGTTGTCGTTGCTGGGATTTATAGTTCATCTACAATCAAAGAGCATTCTGAACTCCAACAGAAATGGAATTGAACCAAATTTGGCACACAGAGCTCCCATGCCCAACAGAAAATATTGGAAGGGTTTGGTGGGCATTGACCTTGAGTTTGGGAGTTGTAGTTCACCTACATCCAGAGAGCACTGTGGACTCAAACA